TGTGTATATAAATTTTGTTCGCCTACCTCTATATATATATATATATACTCAATCTGCGGACAGCATGCTGTTTCGTTCTTTTTGAACTCATCAGCGCAGCACAGAGAAAATGAGGCCGAACCTGATAGCAATGGAAATAAAAATTTCCAATCAGGCCCGAACGTACCTTGCCAGAGTGCTCAAACTGACAAGTCAGTGAGCTCTGCATAACGCAAACAGCAAAGGCACTACCCCACGCAAGAGTGCTCAACTGCTACAAGAGCAGGAGCGAAATACTCAATCTGCGGACAGCATGCTGTTTCGTTCTTTTTGAACTCATCAGCGCAGCACAGAGAAAATGAGGCCGAACCTGATAGCAATGGAAATAAAAATTTCCAATCAGGCCCGAACGTACCTTGCCAGAGTATATATGTGTGTGTGTGTGTGTATGTATGTGTCGCTGTGACCGTAGTGCACATATAGGCACATGTGCCTGTATTCGGATATAAGTGCACTCTCATTTATAAGCGCATGCTCTTATAGGCGAAGCACTACCAAAATTCTCACTTTGACACAATCACGGATAAAAGTCTGAAAACAGCATACAGGCACCATGAAACTGACACTACAAGACCTAGTCAAACACAAAGACTCTGGCAAACGAACTCTGTTTGCGCATGCATGTTTAGGTGAAACTTTTCATTTTTTTCATTTTTGAAAATTGGATTCGTAGCAAGAATTCACTTATAACTATAAGCACATGTGCTTATATGTGCTTATAAGTGCGTTATTACGGTATATGGGGGGGGGGGGGGGGGGGCTATGTCCTGCACATCCACCTCTACACACAACGTTATAACGCATTGGCTAGGGTGGATGCAACGTGCGGAATCGATTTCGTTCAACTGTCACCGTAGGTTGGTGCTCGTGATTGCTGCTTGCTATGCAACATACATTAGGGGCCGTCCGTAATTATCGAACGTTTTTCACCAAACGAATTATTTTAGTTTGGACCCAATCCCTCCCTCCCCCCCCCCCTCAGAACGTAAAAAAAAGGTTGACATATGCATGCATATTATAAATACAACAAAAGTTGCAGGTGTACACCTGCTCCTGCGACCATGTATATGTACATGCTTCAATGTTTTCTGAAACGAAATTGGTCAACCCCCTCCCACACCATAACGAAATTATTTCGTTTTGTGAAAAAAGTTCGATATTTATGGACGACCCCTTATGCAGTTATTCACAAACCCTTTTGTACCTGCTTTGTTTTCCTCTCCAGGCAAGTGGCATCTTGGAGGAAAATACATTTGCGTATGATGACCAAGGAATAGTATGGCCTATGCGCATGGGTGTATTAGCGGAGTCACGTCGGAAAATTAATCTTCTCTCGGAGAACATATACCGACGCCTGCTGCCCACTCCGTTTGGCATTGTACATTTGCTTGTGGCAAGAGATGCCGAAGGTCAGTTGTTGTCTGTGGTTGTTGTATGTATGAGAGAGGCGGTTCATGTTTGTCTGTCTGTCTGTCTGTCAGTCTGTCTGTCTGTCTGTCTGTCTGTCTGTCTGTCTGTCTGTCTGTCTGTCTGTCTGTCTGTCTGTCTGTCTGTATAATTATGTATATGCTGCTGCCTGTGTGTGTGTGTGTATGTATGTGTGTGTTTGTGTGTGTGTATGTGTGTGTGTGTATGTATGTGTGTGTTTGTGTGTGTGTATGTGTGTGTGTGTATGTATGTGTGTGTTTGTGTGTGTGTGTATGTGCGTGTGTGTGTATATGTGTATCACAAGTTGCTATGCCTTCTGCTGTAGCATCGCTATCATCACCTTCGGCGATGGGCGTCAAAAATGGTCTAAAATGGTGTGTGTGTGTGTGTGTGTGTGTGTGCGTGTGTGCGTGCGCATGTGTGTGTGTGTGTGTTTTTTCTTTGCAGGTAAGCTGGTTGAGTTGCCAGAGGTCAATCCAGAACTGTCCCTCCCCGAGTGGAGTAAGCAGCTGCGAGACAGCTCGCCGGTCCTCTCTGACCCCAACACTACAGTCTATGCTCTGTTCTGCCCGGCAGCAGTCCCAGTCATAGGCTCAGCGTACGGTCGCCTCGAGCTGTGGCTCTCTTTGCTCGAAGCCAACAACATCTACCCGTTGGCTGTAAGTTGAGCAGAGGGGGGCCTTGGTGCTGTTTGTGTGTGTCTGTGTGTGTGTGTGTGCGTGTGTGTGTGTGTGTCTGTGTGTGTGTGTGGTGTGTGTGTGCGTGCGCTCGTGTGTGTGAGGTGAGGTGTGTATGTCCAAGGTTCCTTTTGAGTCTCTCTCTCCCCTCTCCTGGGAGGCCCACGTGACCAGTTTTGGCAGTGAGCAAGTAAAAGTGTGTGTGCATGTGCACATCCTCATGCATTTTTCTGTGTCTGTGTGTGATTGCACACGTGTCTGTGCACACACGCACACGCAGCGCGCACACTCACGCGCACGCACACACACACACACACACACATACACACACGTGCATATGCATGTGTGTGATTGTGCATGTATGTGGGACTTTATTCTTATTCTACAAAAAGTATTCTATTTTCGCACCAAGGTTCAACTCAAAGGTTCAAAGGTTCATGTCGAGTGACAGGAACGCTGTAAAAGTTGTAGCCCGCAGGCACGTTGACCAGGTGACTGGTGTACGCATGAGCACGTGACTGCTTACTCATCCGTGTTCGATTGGGAATAAGGGCCAAACGCTGCATCGCAGCCTTTTCAGACCAAAACCAGTCGACTCAGCGTCCAAAAGACTACAACAAATGGGCCAATCGCGGTCATCCGTGCTTTTATAAGAAGGAAACGGCGCTTTTAGTGACTTTTTGCATACAAATCCCAATCTAGTAGGGCGCAGTCCCCCAGTTTCGGTGGAAGTGCGAGAGTTCGATTGGGAAATAAAGGAGGAAGGGAGCGTCTCAGCTTCCTCGGACCAAGACCATTCAACCCAGCACCCCGATGACTACAACTGGTGAAAATTTGATTTTCGGTAAATAAAGCACCCATTTCGTCTAGTGTGTACACTCATCACGATGACACTGTATAGGCGGTGTGTTGATTTGTGTTGCTTGTGTGTGTGTGTGTGTTTCCTTTCATTTAGTTCACTGCCCAATCCTTCACCCAGTGCACGCCGGAGTTCAAGGACAAGTTTGTGGGCTTAGTGCTGGACCCGTCACAGTTCTCCGTCGCTAATCTGCCACTTTGCTGGCCTCGCAACCCAAAACAGCCACAACAACCATCGAAAGCGACTGGAGCAAAAACAGCAGCAGCAGCAGCAGCAGCAGCACCACCACCACCACCAGCAGAAGCAGCAGCACCACCACCACCACCACCAGCAGAAGCAGCAGCAGCAGCAGCAGCAGCACCACCACCACCACCAGCAGAAGCAGCAGCAGAGGCAGCAGCAGCAGAGGCAACAAAAGCCGAAAACCCACCAGATAGTGCAGTGCCATTACATGATGGTAGCACGGCCGTTTAGGGGTGTTAGTTCCATGCAAGTTTCTAGAACCATTGATTTTTACCGTATTCTTTTGATACCATGTCTATTTGGGCGCCTGGGAGAGAGAGAGAGAGAGAGTGTGTGTGTGTGTGTGTGTGTGTGTGTGTGTGTGTGTGTGTGTGTGTGTGTGTGTGCGTGAGTTCGACGCCACGTGTTGTGAGAAACAATGCTCTTCTGGAATGTGTGTTGAAGTGAAACCGTAGTCTGAAAGACTAGATTCATCGTTGTGCCATGTTCCGCAGAGTCTGGACAATTAGCCAAAAGGACTATGCTTGACATTCTGTTCAGTTTCGTCTCGGGGGTGTTTACAGGACAGGTGCCGGGAAAGGTTCGTGCCCATAACATGCTGGGTCAATCATAGGATAATCGCAGACTTGCACGGCATTGCTTGTGTTGGTTATGGGCCATGCCAATAGAGAGGTTCCGCACTACGTAAAGTTGAGCAACTTTACGTTAGTGGGCGGGGAAAACCCGTGAATTCGCGAGTTTGCACTCCACTTACGGAAAGTTGTCTACGTAGATAGGGCTCTGATAACGTAGCTGTCCGTAAGTGGATTGGGGTACAAATTTATGACTCTCTCCCCAGGTCGTACACTGCCGCGTTCGGAGTTGCCAAGGGCAGCTACGTGATTTGAAAACTCCGTATGGCGGAACCCAGATGCGCATGCAGTTTCCGTAAGACTTTCCGTAGATCGTTATGCGAACCTCTCTAATGGCAATGGTTTTCACCCTGATACAGTGCTGTCTGTAGATGCTGAAACAGCTAGCAACGCTAGTCTGTAGCCTGCACTCGGTTACACAAACGACAACAGCATAATATTGTTATGCTGTTGTCGTTTGTGTCGTGCATCACACCAAGGAGAAGGGCATAGAAGGCAATGAACGTTTCCCCGTCATGCCACTGTAAACGTCACACCACAGACTAACAGTACAGTCGCGCGCCGAAGAATACCCCAGGCTTGGAAACAATGTCCTTGGGCGCACGACTCTGCTGTACCAAGACCACAGCTGAGCATAAAAGTGAGAATGGAAGTGACAGAAAATGAATAGGATTCATACATCAACTTCCCAGGCCAACAACAAACGTGATGCACCCGTGCAACTATTAAATATCAATACAACGAATTACGTTCGTTCTCAAGTATTAAGATATACAATGCAGTGTGAGCTCAGTTCTGGAGATACAAAATTTCAACGTACATGAAAATAGAAAGCGGGCAACCTAATTTTGAAAATATTGCTCACAAAGCACTCCGCATTTGTAGTTGTATTCAAGCAGCAACGATGTGGAATTCACTGGATGTGCCACTGTAAGGCTTGGCATGGCGGAGGAAAGGATGGTAGTAGCCGAAGTGACGCAGACGATAGAGACCGGCAGGTGTGTTGGGGGCAGTGCGCCACTCAATGGTGGCTGTGCTGTGAGAGTCGACCTTGTTCGTTTTCTCCCAGTGGAAGCTAACAACAACAAGAACAACAAGGCTATTGTGAGAATAAAGATTTGAAACAACAACAACACCAGCAGCAGCACACACATGACATCTACGAAGAAAGGGTATGAGACAACTAAAATGAGAGAGCTGTCAGCGGAGGGCCCTCACCACACGTGCATTCTATCAGGAGTACATAACCAAGAGTGTGCAACTCCTATCTTGAGCAGCGATGGGTTCACCCACATCGGAATTTTTCATCGCGTCATTCTTTGGCAGAAGTATGATGAAGTGCGTATGCTTTCCCGCGCTTGTTTTCTAGATAGGGTGAGCGTTCATCAGGTTCAATACACATTGATCTATCGCCCGTTGTTCTGCTTCGACTACAGTAGCTGTAATGTTGCACTTTGATCTCTGGCTACGCATGATGGCATCAGTGAGCCAAACCGCCGCCGCGACAAAGACTGGTGTCATAAAAAAAATTCCGCCATGGGCTGGGGGATCGTCGAGTTGCACACTCTTGGTTATGTACTCTTGATTCTATCAGGTTCTAGCCAAGGGGGGGGGGGGGGGGGGGGGTCACACAAGTGGGAGTACTACAAATGATTGTACTGGCATGTACGAAGGTACGCACTGAACGATGGAAGAAGTTGGAATTTCCATTTGCTCTTCCATACGCACACACCCCAAAAGCCAGCAAAAATACCCACAAAACGCATGGTTTCACGCGTACACCCGCCAGTTGTGAATGTAGGTTTAAGCTGTGTTTACACGAGAATTTTCAACCCGGGTTGAAAGTCTGAAGGATGGAAAAAATAGGTGGGTGTTAACTATTTACATGAAGACAGTTGACCCGGGTCAATTACTGATACGCCGCCAAAAGTCCACTTCTAGAGTCCTGTTTGGTCACGTGAATGCTTTCGTGCGAAATTTGCCTGTCTGTTCAAACCTGGCGCGAGATACGCACAGAAGTACGGTAGTACGATTTCAAACCGGGTCAAGCGCAATGCGTCATGTAAACGCTCCAGTCAATCCGTGTTCATGGCAGGTTGAACCTTGACGCGGGCTGAAACGCCTCATGTAAACACAGTTGCCCACGTGGCACGTGCCAGCCCATAACACGCACCATTTTGACACCCATCGCCAGAGGTGATGATAGCGAAGCTACAGCAGAAGCCATAGCAACTTGTGCTGGGATGGCACCATTCAACAGCTTGCAAGACTGAAGAATTGACCGCCACTATTCAGCCTGGTCTACCACCACACAGCTATGAAGTGGCTTTTTTTAGCCAGCGAATTCCTACTTTTTGGTCTTTTTTCATTTTTTTCCCACGCACACATCACACCACATACTCTGGCATACACTGGCTGTTGGTAACCACCCAGGAGAATGAAAGAAAGTCAGGAGGAGTCTGAGAAAGAGAAGAAAGACGTGTGTGACCATAATCGTCGGGAATCGAACCCGCAACCTATCAATTGGAAATCGCTGCACCTACCACTGCACCATATGGGACACACGTACACACGCAAAAGCGATGAGACACCATCAAGTACCATCTTTGCATAGCTCCGGGAATAAATGCCCGTTGACAGCACACACAATGCACTGCAAACGTTCATACACACAGTGAGTTTTACAGTTATTGTTGTTCATGCCCACTTAGAACTTACAGCGTATCCCAGTTGCCATCAGAGCGAATGACCTTCCATTTGTTAGGGCCAACGGCAACCTCAACAGTCAAGAAGGTGGCATTGGTCTACAGAAACAGCATAGCACCACCACCACAACAGATCATACACACAAACAGACGCACACAATAGACATGAGAATTAAACCCACGCAATGGCAGCAGCGGACGAAGTGTGCCATAAGAGCCCTATCAATACGCTAACCCTAAGGCCACACAGAACTAATACGTCGTTTCGGGTCACTCGACCGCAATATATATGCTGCGGTCTTTTTCCCGCTATTTAGCACCGCACACGAAAGCAGCATAAGCAAGGAGCAAGGCATGTCTCCACAAAGGATCTCAGGCATGGGCTGCAAACATTCTCACACTCGCTTCGGCGAAGCACACCAGCGGGGCGAACGAGGGCAATGTTGGAAAAAACCCCACCAAGCAAGCATATCTGGGTGAATTGTGTCAACACATGAACGGCTGTCGTAAAAGTATACACAAGTCCACCCAGGTGTTTGGACTAGGACACCATAGGAGGCAAAAGCCAGAGCAAGAGACTCACGGACTAAATTATACTACCAAGAGTACATAACCCCCAAGAGTGTGTGCAACTGCCTGAACAACCTCTAACCAGTGCTGCAACGGCAACACTTCACAGCACGCGACATGGTTCAAAAGGCTACGTTGGAAAATAGTGCAACGCGACCACAGGAGAGTTGAACCCAAAGCAACCCTGCATCTAGGATACATGTGGTGCGAACAATGTGTGCGAGTTTGTCAGGTGATGTGAAGTTCTGTCACAGCAGACCGCATAGCTGGAGTTGCACACTCTTGGGGATTATGTAGTCTTGCTAGCACTACAGTCCATTTCAAAACTATAGATGTGTAGGGTTTTTGAAATATTTCAAATTTGGCTGGAACCTTTTGACAATAGTTTTCGGAATATTGCTCAGAACCGCTCCACAATTACTCTCATATAGTTTCTTAAACGATTGGATAACAGATTGGATAACAGACGCCCAATTTGGAAAAATTTATGCACAAAGTGATCACAGATTTTATGTGGTATAGATGCTGGCATAACGGTTTTTGCCTAGGTACGCGTCTATAGTTTTGAAATGGACTGTAACAGCTACAATGAGTGTGGACGGTTAGCAGCAGAGTGAGGAGAGCATGCCACACACAGACAGTGCTTACCATCAGGTTGTTACGCGGGTTACCGGCGTGGAATGATGCAGCCACCACCTCACCCTACGCAGAACAGCAGCAGGATGTGCCACGCACACACATACACACACACACACAGGTCACAATCATTGACAACAACGGTAGCAACACTTCTTCTCCTACTGGGCTTGACGTCGGAAGTCGATAAAAAATAACAACTTCCGGGTTTGCATTCCCTCTGAACATAGCAAAGTTCATTGTACTACAGCAAACTACAGTACAGTATGTGGTGGGTACTGAAAGTCTACAAATCTTCGGCCTCCCAGGGCTAAAGCCCATTTCGGCCGCATCAAATTTTCCGCCTGTACTGCTGCCGCCTGTATACACTGTCACACTGAACCTTGCAAAACAAATTTTTCGGCTAAACATGACCAGGCCGAAGATAGGCGAAAATTAATATGTGCCGAATATTTGTTGACCTACAGTAGGCCTCTTTCTGACCATAGCACAGCATAGCATAGCAAAACACTACACTAGAGTACCCCTTTCTGACCATAGCACAGCATAGCACAGCAAAACACTACACTAGAGTACCCCTTTCTGACCATAGCACAGCATAGCATAGCAAAACACTACACTAGAGTACCCCTTTCTCACCATAGCACAGCATAGCAAAACACTACACTAGAGTACCCCTTTCTCACCATAGCATAGCATAGCATAGCAAAACACTACACTACAGTACGGTTATGTGGTGGGTAGGCCAGTGTTGCCACATCATTCTAGCCAAATATCAGTAGCATGAGAAAATAAAATGCATCATCCGGGGCACAGACCCGGACCCGATTATCGTGAAAGTGCGCCCCAGCGTGCTTGCACTTTGCAGCCACTTTTCTCGTTCACAGGTGAAATACCATAGCAACGGTCCAGTGCATGTGGATTTGCCTGTCTTGTGAGTTGCCTATTACGCGCGTCGCTGCAGTACAAATCAGTAGAAAACTTGCATTGCAGCACAACACCACAACTTACAGCCTTGTACGCAGTCTTGACATCCTGGATGACGTCACCAATGTGGGCCTTACCAGGAGCAGTGTCCAGCAGTACGGGGAAGGGGTAGTCCCAGGTGGTAGACACGTCCAACGGGGGCATTGGCAAGGACTCGGTTTTGGCATCCTGTTGCACACACACGCACACACACAGAAGAGGTCATAATCAAGAGATGCACAGAGGCCATGCACACACAGAACATAATAAATTAATAATCAACTGGCAACTGCACATAGACAACTGGGGAGGGGAGAGAGAGAGAGAGAGAGAGAGAGAGAGAGAGAGAAAATGAGAGAGGGAGAGAGATACAGAGAGAGCGTGAGTGATACAGAACATGTCAAGCCCACGGGGTTGCCCTCCTCAACAATCTTGCAAACAGAACAGCAGAATGTGAGTGCATACCGTGGCCAGGTCGGTGGCGAGACGCTCAAATTGGTTGATGTAAGCTTGGAGTGTATGTTCACCATACAGGGTGGAGGCAGCCTCATAACGCTGAGCCTGGGGTGAAGGAAAGACACAAACAAAAGAATACGAGAATTACTAGTACCCCAAGTTCAGCAGAACAAATTCGCGGTACAGCACTGCCGGGCCCCGAAGAACGGAGTGCCCAAGAACGAACAGGTTAGAATTTCACCAAGCATAGCATGCCAATGTCTACACGGTGACTCAACCGTGCATAGACTAACAAATGAAAATAAGAACGACGGTACGGCAGGATAGGAGGCAGCTGAACAATAGTTGACCAAGTAACAAGCCATCCTGCCTGAAAATTACCTCTGCCAGGCACCTACAGTCATACTTGAAAGGAAATAGCTGACAGCAAGCAAACTGCGAGAATTACATCCATCCTGGCGGAAGGTGCTAACAACAAGTTAAGTGTCAGCACCCAGTTCACACAGAAGCCAATACCAATACCACTTCAGGAGAACTACATCCCATCCTCGCTAACAACTACTGTAAGGTAACAGTGTCAGCATGTAGCTCCGCACAAAACCCATTATCACTACATCAAGCACCTAACCCATTATCACTACATCAAGCACCTAACCCATTATCACTACATCAAGCACATAGATATCTGCACCTAACCCATTATCACTAGCACTTCAAAAGACTTGTCATTGTCAGCCAAACCCTCGCACTGCACTCACAGCAGGAGCTTACAGAACACGCCGTCACGTGGTACAGCACTGAGTGTAAGGCTTGCGCACACACGCACACACACACAGTGACACACACGCGTGCACACACACACACCTCAGACATGCCCACCGCGGAAGCGAACAGCTATGTTAGACATAGCAACTTGTGCTGGGGTTACACCATTCACACACACACACACTTCAGTCCAGTGACAGTCCAGCACCATGCCCTTCTACAGCAAACACGCTATGTTAGACTAAGCGACTGGTGCCGGGATCGCGCCGGTCGACAGCTTGCAGGCTCGAAGAATTTACAAGTTTAGCCCGGCATGGCATGATGTCGCTTTTAAAAGTGGAAATTTGTCAGCAGTGAACCCAGTCTTGGCTACCCACACACCCATACACCACTCACCTGATACTCTTCATAAGTGACAATGTAACTGGAGTAGAGGTTGGAGAGACCGGCGATGACAACCGTGGTGTTCTCTCCCCAGCCGTGTGAGACGACCACCTTCTTGATGGCCTGGCGCAGACGCCGTCCAGCCATGGTGGTGAACTCACCGGGCACGGACACGATCAGCAGCTGACCGACCTGGACGAGCTGAATGGGGACGACAGCGGGCTGCCAGGGGAACGGCGTGAACATCTCGCCGGTGTCGACCAGAATGGGTTTGGGGTGCTGGCACTTTTTCTGCTCGGCGGAGGGGCTTTTCATCAGAGCGCTGATGGCAGTCCAGAATGGGTTGCCCTTGACGGTACCTGCAGTTCATAGAAGTGGTCCAGTAGTGTCACAACACACACAGCTATGTGAAATGTCATTAAAAGGTCCTTCGTAAGCTATACAGCTTCTTCGAGGTGAGACCAATGGACTAGAATGGTGATCCACCTCCAAGCGCTGTGTTTTGACATGCGACCTGTTCACCACAATCTCGGCGCGAGGGCATCAGTCGGGGGGGGGGGGGGGTGAACATGTTGTATGTCAAAACACAGCGCTTGGAGCCATCTCTGAAGCTTGTTATTTTCGCCCAAGCCATGAAAGGGCTTCCTGGCAACTGCTCTGACTCGAGTGTCAGGCATCAGGCGGAGCGCCATTCTAGTTCGTTTGGTCTCACCTTGAAGAAGCTCTATAGCTTACGAAGGACCTTTAAGGAAAAAGCTCTATACACAGGAAATACCACCTAGCCTGTAACCAAATAGGGACAAAATGCATGTTCAGTACAAAAGTTGTGAAATATACAGACAAGAGTGGCCAGTACAACTACTCTAACCCATTATGGCTCACACACACACGCACCTTGTGTGAAGTCGAAAGCTCCTGGTCCGTCGGTGGTGCCAGCTGCGAAGCTGTAACCCATGGCAGCCTTGCAGGTTTGGACCTGCAGATAAGACAGGGAGAGAGAGAGAGAGAGAGAGAGAGAGAGAGAGAGAGAGAGAGAGAGAGAGAGAGAGAGAGAGAGAGAGAGAGAGAGAGAGAGAACGATACAGCAGTGGACATACATGAAGGGCAGAGCAAGCCAGCGAAATGAGACAGACAAGCAAAAACTGGACAGTACACAACCAAAGCGGAGCAAGGACATATTCTGTATCGTTGATTCCCATCCTGCGCAGAAAGACGGGAAGCGACAAGGCGGGAGGGAGATCAACGGCATTGTGTGGTAATTCCTGCCTCCGTGCCGAAAAGCAGCTGAGGAAGCGACACAGTGTATGCATGTGTTGATGGGGGGGGGGGGGCAACAGTATTAAATTGTTATGATTCACACACACACACAAACATTAGCCCACAGAATACAGGTCACTGGGCGACGTCATCAGCCGCCCGGGTGAAGATTGAGGATGACGTCTTTTCTCGGAGAACGAGTGCTGCTCGCCACCCTACCTTGTCGCCATTGTGCTCCACGGTCTGATTGGTCATGTCAATGTAGCTATGACGGAAGGCGATGGGGCCCTCAAGCTTGATATTGGCACTCTTGTACAGCTCCTGAGAACACAAATTAACATGCACACAAACACAGTATTCATTAGTTCCAGGGGAAAAGTTGCAAACAGGAAAAGCCTGAAGAGAAAATTGACTGTCCACATCAGGACTCGAACCAGGGACCCTCGATTATGGCCTGCAACCGAAGCACAGCCACGTCAAAGCACGCTACACAGGACACCTAGGCCTGGATATCAGTGTGTTTGTATAAATCAACAGCTTCCTCTATAGAGCTGTTGCACATCTACCGCTGTCACATGACCACACAGGGCAACCATGTTGGTTCCCACTCTACTCAACCGGGACTCCTGTAAGAAGACCATAGCCATCGGTCTGGGGGAAACACCCCAGTAAAATAAATAAAATAAATAATAAAAAACCCTGAGCATACATGGGTCACATGACAAAGATGTGAGAGCGCTCTATATACATCTCTAGTTACCTTGGCCTTGACAAACTGTCTCTCTCCAATGATACGAGTACTGTCTGTCATATCCACACCTGGACCACTTGCAGCACACAGCTCAGTCTGCAGTCAAGCAAACAAACCAAGAAGACAGTCAGAACACATCGCCGACGCTGAGAAAAAGAGAGAACACAGATTCATTGGTTGCTGTCAGAAGCATGCACGAATCGCAGAGAGAATGTATACACGGTGAAACTCGGAGCAGTGACAAGCAGGCAACTCACACGTCCTCCACAAGTACTGTGGTTCTTCTCACACGGCAGACCCGTGTCCATGCAGTGTGGGCCTCGCGTGTTAGGGGACACATCGCCCAAATTGGTCTGAGCAAAGGCTGCGACAAAGTCACCCTGCAGGAAACAGCGACACGAAACGTACACAGGCAAAAAGCACATTGTGAACATGCTCCGTATTGTTAGAATTTGCGGGAGGATGATGTTGGGTGAGGGAGTGAGCGAGACAAACAGATACAGATACACAGAGAGAGAAACAGAGACACACACACACACAGAGAGAGAGAGAGAGAGAGAGAGAGAGAGAGAGAGAGAGAGAGAGAGAGAGAGAGAGAGAGAGAGAGAGAGAGAGAGAGAGAGAGAGAGAGAGAGAGAGAGAGACAATGGTGCACCTAGGAGCCGCGAGTTTCACAGAGAGCAGCCATGTGGAATAGAGCTGGGTAGAGGCCTACCTGACCGGGAAGAGCACCCTCGTTCATCTCCTCCTCAAAGAGCAGTGAAGCATACCCCTTGTTGTCACTGCTGATGTGACGGTTGCTATGGTTCATGCTGGTGCAGTGCACGGCAAACCAGCTGCATAACAGCAACAGCAGCAAACAACAGCAGCAAACAACAGCAGCAAACAACAGCAGCAAACAACAGCAGCAAACCTTTTAGCGTCTCTTACAACAAACAAATGCGCTGTGATACATGTATACAAATACAGTAGAACGCTGAGCATATGCACAGCATGCTGCCAACAACTTACTTGATCATACCCAGGGGCTTGCCGTCAGCGCCGACCAACTTGAGAAGAGTCATCAGGTTGTCAGTATTGGCATCATACCTAAACCAGGTTAAAACAGCAGCAACAATAAGCAAAGAGTAAAATTGGTAAGATGGTGGATCAGAACACATTTCCAACCAAATGGAATCGTGAAAATTCAATACACTTCACCTATGGCTGCACTGAATCCGTAGAGACCTTCGCGGACGTGAATACAACATTATTATTTCCAAGCGATTACACGCTTCACGCCAGAGCCAGCAAAGGGAGGGTTCTCGCATGCTGGCTCTCGCCCAGCCACCCGCACAACAGAGCCGGCACTGAAACAACCTACCGTGCACGCTCTTCGGCTGGGTTATCCAGGTAGGAGCTTGGACTGCGGTTGATGCTGGCATTCAGCAGGATACCAGAGCTCATCAGGATGTTGCCGGGCTGCAAGTTCTCGTGAGCAATCTGCACTGAGCGCACAATACCTGTGTGAGAACAAACAATCCAAACACCTCTTGAAGTCAGATGCAGCTAATACTTGAAGGCGGTTTTCGGGGCAGCCAGGTGCATTACATCGCTGTATGAAATGTGAACATAATCTGCCGGCAGTACAAGATCTCTTGACATCCCCTGCACATGTGTCCCATCGGGCTGGGCAGCCCCGATGACATGACGAACCACTAGAAGTTACGTCATGTTGGGTGAACGTGTTCCCCTCATGAGCGCGCGCGAGAGCTGCAATGTCTACTATGACAGCAAGATACCCGCTGCACACATCGATGTTGTTTGTACAACAACTGTCATATTTGTGTACGCTTGTCACTAATATCAATGAATGGAATGTTGTTTGTCTGCTAACTGGCTCTTTGTGTACGCGGTCTAATCAAATCATAATCCTTATTCAGCTATTTTGTATCGCTAAAGGCCGATTCATACTTCATTTCCCGTATGGGAAAGTCATAGCGCGACCGTCGCACGATGGCTTTCCCGTACGTGAAATAGTTGAGCTCAGATCAACTTTCTCGCGATGCGATGCGTTTCCGGTGCGCGAAATGAAGTATGAATCGGCCTTTATAACTGCTGCTGCCTTTTTGGGTAAATTTTTGTATTTTCTTTATAAAAAAATTTGATTTATAGGGGTTTTTCAAAACACTTTCCATTTCCATTTTAGACCAAGAAAAAAACGCATAATCCGGAAAAGCCTAGTGTGGGGCTGAATGGATACTTGGATCAACTATATTGGCTGATGACCTGATTGGGTTATTACGACAATACAAATGTATATGCTGTGGCCATAAGATCGGTATTGTATGTGTCCGAAGGTTTAGCAACATGCGGGTACACTTGTATACGGAACGTGAATAAGAAACAGGACAGCAGCCGCCCCCACCTTTCACGTAGGCATCGATGGCCTGGGGCACGATGCCGACGCTGGTGATGTCGTAGAGAACGTACTGGAAGAAACCGGCCGGTGCAGAGTGGGTGTGAGTACCGCTGATGATGGTGTTCTCAGCACGGTACAGATTGCCATACAGCTTCTCCAGCTCCAGCAAAGCCTAAGCACAACAACAACACATACAGCAATAAACAAACAATCGAAGACCAAAGATGAACGAGCACTCAGAGAAGGTCGAATCAGTGCAGATGAGCAGAAATTGTGCCTACGGAGTCCTGATGATGTACACACTACAAGTTCAATATTTACAGCCGGGCCCCTAAGCGGGGCACAAAGTTTAATGACCCTTTCAGCACATGCACGGCTTCCCTTTCCACGGTAGAGAGGAATTACGTATAAGTAACGCCTCTGGAGTCAACGATGGATTCTTTCTCATTAAAACGCTAGCCTCTGTGCCCTGTAAGAGACGCAACTCTTACAGTATGTTTTTTATGGAGCTTGCTTATCAGACTAGTTTGCGAATATAAGAGATCTGTGGACTGTGGCCCTGAGAGTGCTGGGTCTGCTGTAGCACGAATAAAGACGTGGCAACGTTGGGCATACATGCATGCATGCCTGCCTGGCCACACTTAGAACAAGCCAGAGCCTGACCAAGCGACCCTTCTGCAGCCGAGTCAAGTAAACCAAAACAAGGAAAAATTGTGCACGGACTAATCCAGGAATGTTGCTGCGACAGAAACCCTTAGTTTTGCTCTCTTCTCTTTTTTTACACATTTGTGACTAAGATCAACCCAGGCCGAGGACTTCCATCCTCTCTTACTTTTGTGGTGACGACGTGTGACGCCATGCAGCCGTCAATGCTAACAAAGAGGGTGCGTTGCTCGGTGGCGGCATCGACGATGATGAATGCACGTGAGAACTGGCGCGTGTGGATTCCTTCTCCAGTCTGCGCCGGGTTGCCATATCCCATCTGCAACACACACACACACACACACACAGCAGGAAACAGTGTTGCTCTTGCGGTGATCTTCAATTTCGTTGCGCAAATTATAAATTGCAGGTTAAAATTCTTGCAACAAATGGCGGGATAAGGAAGAGCCCCTGAATATCACCATAAAGGAATGCCTAAACCGTGTTCCCTTGGCTTTGTGGACGATATGGCGATGGTTCGTTAGTGTATATGGCCTATCAAATGATTACATGTACACTCATGTACTTACGAAATTGATTTCACCAGCGGGACCTGTCATATCAAACATTCCCCGTCCAAGTAGATAGTTTCCTTTGTCCGCTGTGGCCAGGGCAGCCATAACACACAGCCCAAGAAGGGCGAAGCATTTGCTTCCACCCATTACGAAAATGTCTTCACTCAGTCAGCAGTGTATGTATCCGTTGCGAGCCTTTAGTCAGGAAGACAACTGCCCCAAAACGAACCAACTTCGGCCTGACAAAACGCAAATGTGGTGGAAACAGTTCAACTGGCTGCCTGCAATGCGCAAAGCGAGGGCGCGTGAACGTGTGAACCGGTTGAGGATCTTCACCGTACACCTGAGCTGCCCGATATGCGCTTTTCACGTGATCATTTGAAAAGATACCGTATACTCGAGTACTCGTATTATTCTCAAGTCGAGACAAGAGTGCAAAAAACCACATTATAAATTTGTCATGCACTTTTTGATCTTGTCATGTAGACTTTTATGGGGTATTCACACGACAGGCAAATCCACGTGGCCGTGGCCACGTGCACCGGAAAGTAAGTTGCAGGGAGTGACCATGGTGACATACGAGAAAATTAAAAGTGACTGTGTGGGTACCGGTACCGGGGGTACCGGGTGGGGAGTCTGGGGACGTGGATTCACACAGCTGCACTCGACGACCAGCTGACGACAGGCACGTTTGCATTTTTGAATGCTTCACCGACCAGTAGCCATGGGTATTTCAAATTTTCAAAACGCACACACGATAATTATCATCAGGGAGTAGTATTGTACTACTCCCTGATTATCATGCTCTACAAGAGCCACGTAAAAAATCAAGTCTTGTTTCGCGCTTTTTGGTGTAATTGTACTCGTGCACGCCACGATTATCGTGAAAGTGGGCCCCCGGGCCATGCCCAGCTCGCTTTCACTTTTCAGCTACTTTCACTCAAGTTCAGGCACTTTTCTCGTTCACAGGTAAAATACCATAGCAACTTTCCGGTGCACGTGGATTTGCCTGTCGTGTGAATACCCCATTATAGACCCTCTTCCTGATCCTCGTCCCTCTATCATACCAGACGCCCAGTGCAGTGAGATCTGCTCATACCAAGACCCATACTTTTTTTTTAATATCCTTGCCTTTACTTCGTCATCCAGGACCCCAGGCCTAGGCCCTCCCCGGCCCCGGTAATAACATCGGCCCAGAGCAAGGGGACTAATACAAGACATGATTATTTTGATACAAACAAAAAGCATTACTAAAAAGCATTACTAATACTGTATTTTGAAAGCATTGTACATCGATTTTCCGCGGGAAGTTTTGATTTCAGTACAAAATTGTCAAAATTTCAAAATAAAAAAGGCATAGCGCAGGAATATGACGTGTTTGCGTTCGTAACCTAGGCAATGACGGCAAAGAGATAAGTAATAGTTACGTACTCCGGAACATTTCACTGCTCGAAAACGACGTATAAAAAAATCCGTAGCGCCTCTACGGATTTTGGACGAAAAATCGTACTCCGGCACCTCTCTAATCAGTAATGTCACACGCACCCGCACCACACACACACACACCATTGGACGCCCATCGCCGGAGGCGATGATAGCGATGCTACAGCAGAAGCCATAGCAACTTGTGCTGGGATTGTACCATTCAACAGCTTGCAAGGCTGAAGAATTGGCCGCCACTATTCAGCCTGGTCTACACCACACGTACACAGCTATGAAGTGGCTTTTTCTGGCCAGTGAATCCCTACTTTTGGTCTTTTTTATTTTTTTCCCTGCACACACACATCACACCACATACTCCGCCATGCACTGGCTGTTGGTAACCACCCAGGAGAATGAAAGAAAAGTCAGGAAGAGGCTGAGAAAGAGAAGAAAGACGTGTGTGACCATAATCGTCGGGAATCGAACCCGCAACCTATCGATTGGAAATCGCTGCACACACCACTGCACCATATGGGACACACACACACACACACACACACACACACGCACACACCATTGGACCATTGGACGCCCATCGCCAGAGGTGATGATAGCGATGCTACAGCAGAAGCCATAGCAACTTGTGCTGGGATTGCACCATTCAACAGCTTGCAAGGCTGAAGAATTGACCGCCACTATTCAGCCTGGTCTACACCACACAGCTATGAAGTGGCTTTTTCTGGCCAGTGAATCCCTACTTTTTGGTCTTTTTCATATTTTTTCCGCACACACATCACACCACATACTCCGGCATGCACTGGCTGTTGGTAACCACCCAGGAGAATGAAAGAAAAGTCAGGAGGAGTCTGAGAAAGAGAAGAAAGACGTGTGTGACCATAATCGTCGGGAATCGAACCCGCAACCTATCGATTGGAAATCGCTGCACATACCACTGCACCATATGGGACACACACACACACACACACACACACACACACACACACACACACACACACACACACACACACACACACACACACACACACACACAATCACAACACCAGGCTAGCACCAGTACATTATAATAATTTATTGCACACGCGCACACGCACACACACACACACATACGCGCGCACACACACGCACAAACGTGTGCATGCAAGATGATAGTACCGTGATATTCGGGTGCCAGGAGGGGAAATCAACTAAACTTAGGGTCAAGAAAGGCTGTGACATAATGCAAAAAAAACAAGATTAAACTTATTAATCAGAATACCAGGCAAGTTTCATGAGTGAAATTGAATTGAGCCAACAATAAAAAATAATAAAAAATTTAATGAAATGACAGAGAAAGCATGTGTATCAACATATGAATTTACGCACAATATGCCCGGAGCCTTGTTGGCTTACAGGCTATGACCGGGAGTTCGAATACAACAGTTGGATAGCATGACATGCAGATGTGCAGGTTGGAAGAGACAGAGAGAGAGAGTAGAAGACAGACAGCATGGATAGCGAGCATAGGGAACAGTCACAAAAAGAGGATGACAATGACATGAAGAACGACAACAATGACAAGAACAATGACGTGAAGACAACGACAAGAACAAGAACAACATCAACAACATTAGTGACAATAGGTAACAACGCTCATGACAGAAGGACAGGAAAGAAGAGATACGAGAGATACGAGAGAGAGAGAGAGAGAGAGAGAGAGAGAGAGAGAGAGATACTGGAAGAAGGTGGCGCGCATACAACAACGACAGCATTGGTACCATGGGCATCACCACCACACCCACTACCACCGATAACACTCAGCGTCATATCGAACTGATGAGGTTCGGCGTGGACGTGCGGTGCGAGCGTCTCAGCGACACACTTCGGAACTCCGGCGGCGGCTCAGGGTACTCTGGAGGAGCACGCGATGGAATGAACATGGCCGACGCCGACTTCGGGATCCTACTCAGCTTCTGCTTGCTCAGGTCTTGTAGCATTTCATGCAAGCTATCCAAGACTTCATCATTGTCAAACTTCCGACCAGGCAGCTCCTTCATGAACTCATGCAGCTCTTCGAACGACTGCTTCAGTAGCTGCTCTACAATGTGTTGACAAGGAGGCAGACAGATGGAGGCACATAACGGTGCATGATGAAGCAATAGCTCTAAATTACTAAGACACAAACTTCTGAATCACTTCCATCTACTTCTGTAAAACGAGACCAACATAAAATCGAGATTCCCGGGCAGGACCCATGTGAAATTGGTGTGGGCGGGCATGCATGCCACGCGGAGCTTTTTTTACAGTATTTTCCAGTAATTTTTATTATTTTTATTCATCGCATTTTTGTCTCAGAGGAAACTATTTTTATTCACTTTTTTTTTATAAACAATAGGTACGCGGTTTACCCATTCAATTTTTCTGTATTTCGGCTAACGATGGCCCTGATCTGTACATCAGCGAGTCGTACAAGCCCGGGTTTGTGTGACTCCACGTCACAGATCTACCCACACGATCAGAACTGTACATATTGTATATGAACTGTTAAAAAATAAAAAAATAAAATTGGCGTCGGCTCGATTTTGGTGTGGGAGGGCCCGGGAATCTCTATTTTTGTTTTGGTCTCGCCTAAACTAACTACTTGTGTGAGACTCGAGAGAAATCCAGTTTGCCGTGTCACTCGATCCCGTTCTACACAAGCAAACAGACACGTGACACCACGTGCACATAACGAAGGGGGTGCTTGAATTGTAACTCTTTTGACTTTTTTAGAAAAGTTGCCTTTTTCTGAAGAGGTGACTCATTGGCCTCTTCAGAAGACGAAAGTCTCCTCGAAACTCCACAGCCTCACCCAAGGTTAGGGGTAAATTAGTTCAGAAGAGCTTGGAATGTTCCTGCGGAAACTACATTTCGTAAGCATTTCCCGTAGAAACTAGCACTCTCATTCTTTTTGTCAAGACGCCAATGACTGGACAACAAGAGCAAAACACCGATAGCTGTGGTGACCACTGGGATGGAAGTTACCGTCTGCCAATAACACCATCATAGCCATGCGGTATGTACATGTATGCCTATTTTGAGCGAAAACGGGGATTGTGATGGCACGGTGTACATGAAAAGAAAAAAGTAAAATGACAAATTCGTATATCTTCTACCATTACCCAGGCCACTAAAGCAAAGATCAACATCTTTGCAGAGTTTGCTGCTCAGCCATTGAGCAGGCAGGCACGGAGTATGGTGGTCTTAGCAGAGGGCGCTGCACAGCCACTGAGCAGGCAAGTATGAAGTACGGTGTAGGAGGGGCTTTGCAGAGGGCGCTGCTTAGCCACTGAACAGGGAGGTACAGAGTGTGGTGGGCTTTGCAGAGGGCGCTGCTTAGCCACTGAACAGGGAGGTACAGTGTGGTGGGCTTTGCAGAGGGCGCTGCTTAGCCACTGAACAGGGAGGTACAGAGTATGGTGGGCTTTGCAGAGGGCGCTGCTTAGCCACTGAACAGGGAGGTACAGAGTATGGTGGGCTTTGCAGAGGGTGCTGCTTAGCCACTGAACAGGGAGGTACAGAGTATGGTGGGCTTTGCAGAGGGCGCTGCTTAGCCACTGAACAGGGAGGTACAGAGTATGGTGGGCTTTGCAGAGGGCGCTGCTTAGCCACTGAACAGGGAGGTACAGAGTATGGTGGGCTTTGCAGAGGGCGCTCCATAGCCACTGAACAGGGAGGTACAGAGTATGGTGGGCTTTGCAGAGGGCGCTGCTTAGCCACTGAACAGGGAGGTACAGAGTATGGTGGGCTTTGCAGAGGGCGCTGCTTAGCCACTGAACAGGGAGGTACAGAGTATGGTGGGCTTTGCAGAGGGCGCTGCTTAGCCACTGAACAGGGAGGTACAGAGTATGGTGGGCTTTGCAGAGGGCGCTGCTTAGCCACTGAACAGGGAGGTACAGAGTGTGGTGGGCTTTGCAGAGGGCGCTGCTTAGCCACTGAACAGGGAGGTACAGTGTGGTGGGCTTTGCAGAGGGCGCTGCTTAGCCACTGAACAGGGAGGTACAGTGTGGTGGGCTTTGCAGAGGGCGCTGCATAGCCACTGAACAGGGAGGTACAGAGTATGGTGGGCTTTGCAGAGGGCGCTGCTTAGCCACTGAACAGGGAGGTACAGAGTATGGTGGGCTTTGCAGAGGGTGCTGCTTAGCCACTGAACAGGGAGGTACAGAGTATGGTGGGCTTTGCAGAGGGCGCTGCTTAGCCACTGAACAGGGAGGTACAGAGTATGGTGGGCTTTGCAGAGGGCGCTGCTTAGCCACTGAACAGGGAGGTACAGAGTATGGTGGGCTTTGCAGAGGGCGCTGCTTAGCCACTGAACAGGGAGGTACAGAGTATGGTGGGCTTTGCAGAGGGCGCTGCTTAGCCACTGAACAGGGAGGTACAGAGTGTGGTGGGCTTTGCAGAGGGCGCTGCTTAGCCACTGAACAGGGAGGTACAATGTGGTGGGCTTTGCAGAGGGCGCTGCATAGCCACTGAACAGGGAGGTACAGAGTATGGTGGGCTTTGCAGAGGGCGCTGCTTAGCCACTGAACAGGGAGGTACAGAGTATGGTGGGCTTTGCAGAGGATGCTGCTTAGCCACTGAACAGGGAGGTACAGAGTATGGTGGGCTTTGCAGAGGGCGCTGCTTAGCCACTGAACAGGGAGGTACAGAGTATGGTGGGCTTTGCAGAGGGCGCTGCTTAGCCACTGAACAGGGAGGTACAGAGTATGGTGGGCTTTGCAGAGGGCGCTGCTTAGCCACTGAACAGGGAGGTACAGAGTACGGTGGGCTTTGCAGAGGGCGCTGCTTAGCCACTGAACAGGGAGGTACAGAGTATGGTGGGCTTTGCAGCCAGTCCATGTACTTACTTTTAAACATCTTCAACAGCAGCGCAGCCATAGAGTGCATCACGTCATCACCAACGTAAAGATACACGTCCCAAATGCGTAATACAAGCGAGAACGGTAACTGCATAAACACAGACACACACACATTTGTTAGTTTGACAGTATATTACAGGACGGTGGAACACACATACACACACATGCATTTTTTTAGTTTGACAGCATATTACAGGGCGGTGGAACACACACACACACACATACATTTTTTTTTAATTTGACAGCATATTACAGGACGGTGGAGCACACACACACACACACACACACACACACACACACACACACACACACACACACACACACACACACACACACACACACACACATCTAGTCAAATGACCCTGGATAAGGAGACCATCTATACAAAGCAGCCGCATTACGGAGGCTCTAGAGTGGTCGGCTTAGACAGGTCTCACTGTACTTCCTCTGGGATTGGAGAGATAGCACAGAGCAACCACTGTGCGGCCGTTCAAGACACGTGCGATGATGAGCTATTGTTCTGCAGTGGTTCAGTACTCTTGGCCCAACCTATGGGTTAACTAAATTCTCATCTCCAATCCTGAGGGAACTCATGACGGCCGCTAACACCCGGAATAACGCATGTGCAGTAAATGCTATAGAAAACACACATCCACACGGAGTATACATGAAGTACTGAACGAGGCCCAGGGTGGTACCAGCGGATATCGGCGCAAACAGCACTAATTGTGAGTGCGGATATTTACGAGTGTAGGAACTATTCAATGCTTATTCAACTGTCAGACCTTCCGGGTGCATCAACAGTAGATCAGTGAACCTGGATGCCCCCTATTGGCATGCTCACTGGAGGTGAGAACGCCATATTGACAGACACAGCACACTCAGGCAGATGAATAGTTGGCGGTCTACATGGAAAGAGCCATGTGACGTGCAGCAAATTTCACTTGTGTAAATGTTTGAAGTGAACTTAAGAAGAAAGTTTGATGGCAAAATAGACAGGCATGTATCTGCAATGGTAGAAGAACTAACCCGCTCTTGGAAGCCTTCCATGAACCATTTGGTGCCATACAGCATTGGGTCAAATCCCATTGACTCCTGCACACGAAGAGCCACCACAATTGACACGCACATACAAACACGCACACGCACAGAACCTTTATGACACGCCCACTGTAAAACAACAAAGTATAGCGCCGGTGATATTTTAGAGATGCTAGCGAAAGGAGTGTTTTCGCTAAAGTTTTGCCGCGTCAATCGAAATGTTGCATGTACAGTACAGTGCTGTAGTCATATTTTTTTTAAACTCGGATAGCTAAAATATTTCATTGCGAATCGGTCCAGGTTCAGAAAACGCTAACATTTTTACCCGCTAAAATCAGCCGTTCTATAGTATTTAGTATTGTCACGTCGATGCCACTGATCAGCGATTACACACATCTGCAAGTAAGGAGCTCATAGTGTGGTGCTCACCAGATGCTGGTTGACTTTGGGCATGATCTTTTGCCGGATCGTGCCGTGGTGTGCGCACATCTCGCGCACCTTGGGCAGCTCGTTCACATACAAACCTGCAGCACACGCCAAGCCGTCATGCACAGAAAGGTACATGCCAGTGAGCACACATACATGTACGTGATACTACAGTGCTGGCAACTGAAATCTGACCCCCTGAGCGGCGCGGCGCGCTCACATCGTAACACTAAGAAATAGAGGCCGCTAGAAAGTGAACGCACTGCCCAGGGGGTCGGATTTCAGTTGCCAGCACTGTAGTACTCAAGGGACACATAACATATGGTTATAACCTACAACACACACACACACGACCGCCTTATTTTAATGGAAACATGCCGTTTCAAAGACAAAAATACACTTCAAACATGACGGCTGAACACGTACTATAGAAGACCGTCGAAAGTACGGTACAGTGGTTGACTTGAGCATGAACATGTGGACAATCTATTTCTGTCAAGTACGGTATACAGCATGGCATGCAGCTGTATACTCAGTGCGTGGCGGTGATGCTGGCGCTGGCGGCAGCGGCGGTAACGTTTCTCGAAAGCTCAATCTAGAAACTGATATCCTTATAACCTGCTGATGTCATGTGCATCAGGGACGTCGGAAGGTATTTTAGTGTGGTATGGTCAACCATCTGAATTACAGTTTATTCGTGTAGGAGCCGTGGCTGAGCCGAATTTTTGTGAAATTCAGAGCCCAAATCAGTGTATTTTATCATATATTTTTATGGATTCACGGGGTACCTGGGGCAAATAGTGGTACGGTCAATACCGTAGTGACTGTACCGTGTCCGACGCCCCTGTGCATGAAGTGCACCGACCAAATGGGTATGGTACTTCAAACTACAATTTTTTATTTAAAGGTAGCTTCTACTGAATGAATCCAGTTCTAGCAAGCACTGCACTGCGATGCCATGGTACTTCCACATGTACATGCATTGATATTGGTGACTGATCACTGGCTCTGCTTGGTCCTGCTCCAGTGCAGACTGTGGCGGCCTGCTTGCAGTACCTACCATGCATGGCAAACTTTTCACTGCTCATTAGTCGACACATTCCCCAGTAGGCATCCTGCAACGCACACCCACACACACACAGACACACACACAGACACACACACAGACACACACACACAAGTTCCGTTAGTGCTCCGATGTAGCAGCAAGAATCAGTACAGCAGAACCTCAACTGCTTATGGCGCACCGATAGCATGTTGAAACTAGAGAGTAGTAAAATACCTACTACTGCCTGGTGGAAGTAGCTCTCTGAACAGACACTAGCCATGCAACATGGGCACACAGCTAAGGCACACTATAATCATGCAGTACAGTAGTAGCATGCATGCCAGAGGGCTTACCTCTTCGCTCATGTACATCATGAGCAGACCAGCTATGGAGTCCATACCCTGGCAGTATCCCAGCTCCTACACACAACACACACAGCACGCACAACAAAGCTGCTATCGGTTCTGTTTCACAAAATAAATACAAGTGTGAGAAGGTCACAAGAGTACATAGCCAAGAGCTCCTGTCTTAAGCTGTGATAGACTCGTCCCTGGCAGGAGTGTCTGTTGCGTAATTTCTCGGAAGTATGATCAAGTAGGCAGCACTTTCTGCACTGCTCATGTACAGTACGGTGTCATACATTGGATTCAGGAGGCCAGGATCTACTGTTGTGGACATGGAAATCCGGTCGCACGTCTGGCGGCCTCAGGGCGCTGGCCATGCAGCCGTGGGTAAGCAGTACACACATGACATACATTTTATGCGCTGCAGCACGCTGGTCGCATCCGATCAACATGATTGGTGCAGTGCACGCAGCGTTCTGTATGCGCTGAGGGCGCCGGCCCCGGTCAATCGACTGGATTTCCATGTCCGCGACAGTACCGTCCTTTGTTCTACAGTGACTACCCTACCTAGGAGTCGGTGACGTACAAGTTTTTGCACTTTTGATATCTGGCTATGCTTGATGGCATCAGTGGGCCAAATGGCTGCGGAAGACTGATGTAGTGAAAAAAACCACCATGTGATGAGAGATCGCCAACGTTCACACTCTCGGTTTTATTCTCACGGCGATAGTGAAGTTCAGTGGCCAATGCGAGGATAGTTGCCTGCAATTGTACTAGCCACTTGCAAGTGTAACGTACAGTGCGCAAGTCAATGCCACGCCGGGCACTGTGCAGCCCTCCACCAGCAAACACTGCGATGTTCAGCTGGTGCAGGGTGCAAACGTGACTCACGAGATCGGATTTCATTGAACCACACTGTGTTTCCTGTTGTCAAGTGTCGGCTGGTCTACTAGAACTGTTTGATTTAACCCAAATTCCCTATTAGGCAGGATTTGGTGGTGACAATGTCTCCATGTGGATGAAATGCAGTCTGTCACATGACCATCAAACAACCGCGCTTACCTGGTTGTACATAGTGTACGCTGCTAGTATCCGGAATAGTGTCTGTTGTCTGCACACACACACACACACACACACACACACACACACACACACACACACACACACACACACACACACACACACACACACACACACACACACACACACACACACACACACACACACACACACACACACACACACACACACACACACACACACACACACACACACACACACACACACACACACACACACACACACACACAAGCACACACACATGCACACAAACACAGGAAAAATGTAAGTACATGTACATCCAAGTAGACAAGAGCGCCCACCCACAACTGGACAAGCAAGCAGTGTTCGACACCGTGGGTACCGCAGCCATAGTGCATACACTCCACAACTGATGTGTTTTAAAACTCTCTAAATGCTCTCATGAGCATAAACTGATCTCGAAGTGCCCTATACTGGTCCTCCATTGTTTTCTGATGGCAATCCAGCACAATAACACCACTAACCAGTCCAAACCAGGGAGTAGTAAAATACCGGTATTTCACTACTCTGGGTCCAAACCCTCCAACAAAGGCCGTCTCTTACCCAAGACCATAGCGCTCTCGAAACATGACGTGCTCCCGAAACCGACGGGCAATGTCCTTGTCGATTTGCTCAATGTCTCTGTAGTTTCCTTTCTCCCGCGCCGCATAGTACGCCGCCTGAACAGCAAGCAGGCAAGCAAGAGTCAGTGATTTCAAGGCACGCCAAGTTTTCACAAAACAATGCCATAAACTACAGGAATATATCCAGAGACACCTGCGAGTAAGCGCACTGGTACAAAACAGTGAATACCATCCTGAAAAACAATACCATGAATCGCATTTTAACCCTTTGGCCCCGCTCTATACAAATTCCGATGATATTCCGCCATGACTTCAAACAGCAATAACTCAGTCAAATATTGCCCTGCTGTGAAATTCAAAGCATGCAGGTTGTAGCTGAAATCCTTAGCTTTCCATTGGTGAAATCGTTTTCACAGTAGCAGCAACTGTTAATGAGATATCGCACTCGAAAGTTGTGTGCGTGCGGGGCTGTCCAGATAACCTCCGAGTTTGTTTTCAACAACTGGTACCCAAAAGACCATGCAAAATCGGCCTATAGGAGAATCCAACTGCAGATGAAAAGGTGGCAGTGATGGCGGTGTAAGAGCGACTACAGTGACCCCACTACAACTCACAGCATATACTAGTACCATGCAAAATCGGCCTGCACATAACAGTTATAGGAGAAACCAACTGCAGATGAAAAGGTGGCAGTGATGGTAGTGTAAGGGTGACTATAGAGTTACCCCTCTACAAATCACAGCATACCATGCAAAATCGGCCTGCATGTATAGGAGAAACCAACTGCAGATGAAAAGGTGGCGGTGATGGCGGTGTAAGAGCGACTACAGTGACCCCTCTACAACTCACAGCATACTGGCCTTCGACCCTGATCTCGTCTAGGTCAAGGAGCTTGGACCACACCACTGTCCTGACGCCATCCGGCACACCCTTGAAGATGCGACGCCGAAACATCGGTGTGTCGCTATGCGTCTCCCACCGCCCGATCATCCTGGTCCACTTGAGAGCGCGCTGCCGCATGACCTCCAGATCCTGAGTGCCAGACAGAGCATGCGAACGAGGACAGAAGCGAGTGAGTACACTGCATCACATCAACGCACATGACTACGCCGTGAAATCAAACGTATGCACAGTTAGTGGTAGACATCTGCACAGGGATTCGTCCAGTAATGAACAGAAATCAAACGAAGGCCGAAAGGGTGCAAAAAAGCACCTCACTACTGTGTGTTCACACAACATCAAAGGCGAACAGTGAGACAAGGCTCTCTGTCTCTGTCCGTCCACCCCCCCCCCCCCTCCCTCTCTCTCTCTCTCTCTCTCTCTCTCTCTCTCTCTCTCTCTCTCTCTCTCTCTCTCTCTCTCTCTCTCTCTCTCTCTCTCTCTCTCTCTCTCTCTGTCTGTCTGTCTCTGTCTCTCGTCCTCTCTCTCTCCCTCTCCGTCTCTCTCTTCTCTTGCACTTTAAAATAAGTTACAGCTATAAAGTTTACCTTTTCACTGGGGGTCGTTGGCGGAAGTCGCTCTTTGCTATTAGCAGGTAAGCGCAAGCAAAGATACAGGCATGGAACAGAAACAATTCAATATCGGTGCATGCTATTAACCCTATGAAGACCCCCCCCCCCCCACACACACACACACGCTCACATCAGGGTCCTATTGTTGATACGAGAAGTCTGCATTCGATCGAAAGTCAACGAAATCCAATCAACCATATCCACTCTACACCCAGTGCACAAGCCATGTTCTCCAGTTTCCATTCAATCAGTGTCACCACCAATAGATGAAACATGTAACTGGACTATAGAGTATAGACTATAGACTATAGACACCCTCCGCCGATTCATACTGTAAATATTTGTTGTCCAATCATCAAGTGCCATAATGGTGTGTGATGACCGGCCAAAGTGCTTTCTTGTGTGTTGTAAAAGTGCAGACCATAGGCTTTCTAAGTCTATGGGGCATCATAAGTACATATTCAGAGTGTACAACATTGCGCCATAATGCCCTCGCCACATCACATGTAGATGATCGAAAGAAGATCACTGCATGGACTTACTGCATGAAGCCATAGCGATCGGTGACGGCATACAGCTGAAGATTAGGGTCTTCCCAGTCTTCCACCTCCACACCACCCTCTCGGCCCTGGACAAGAAGAGAATGGACAAAGACCGAAGATCACTTCGGTCAGCAACATGCGTGCCACGGCTGCTGACTCGGGTGATCACACGCTTCTACTTCCACAGAGAAACACCTGTTTCATTCTGGGCAAGCGAATAACCCACCAGCACACTTGACGTCTAGGACCTCCCTTGACATTTCAAGTGTTGTTTAAATGAATGCTCCTGGCTTTCACTTGAAAACACCGCCATTCCGGCAACAGGCTCTCAGCTGCACCAAATAAATAACTTTGCCAATATTTCGCCCATTGGGCATCATCAGGGCATTGAGGAAGGGGAGGCCAAATTACGAAATATAAAGACGAATAATGCAGGCAGATGAATGTTCTAGAACTAACACATCGTGGTGACACAATACTAGTATAGACTCCTGGCTTTGGTTGAAATATTAGTGTATCCCCCCCCCCCCCCCATACACATACAGAGAGAGAGTGAGAGAGTGAGAGAGAGAGAGAGAGAGAGAGAGAGAGAGAGAGAGAGAGAGAGAGAGAGAGAGAGAGAGAGAGAGAGAGAGAGAGAGAGAGAGACAGAGACAGAGACACAGAGAGAGAGAGAGAGAGAGAGAGAGAGAGAGAGAGAGAGAGAGAGAGAGAGAGAGAGAGAGAGAGAGAGAGAGAGAGAGAGAGAGATTTCCACTTCAAGGAAAGCTAAATCATGGCTTACAGCCTGCCGCGCTCTCAACAATGTTGGCGGCTTTCTAGCCTGGAAGTTCTCGATTTGCCCGATGTTACGTCATAAGGAGAGGTGGCAGGGGTGACTGTAATGCTAAATCACGTGGAATCTGATCCCGGGCTGCTCGTTGCAGTCGCCAGCTGGGTCGGAGCCGATTCATATACGCTCACATATCATACCGCTTGTCTGGGCCGAGTTTGTGGTCAGCACGTTATGGCCGCGATCACGATCTTGTGTTTCTTGGATCACGAAGAACTTCAAAAATCCGGGGTCGAAACACAGATCGTTTCGGGTGCTATGATCTCGTGTCATGTCCCTAGATGCTACCACTCAGGCTGATGACGTGTACATGCACGCAATGAACGAGTCACATGGTCAGGGTCCTGATGTGGACTCTATACACAGACAGGGGTTCAGTGTGGAACACTAGTACTAGTAGTAGTGTCAAAAGTACATGTCATGACTCATAAGCCTCCACCCATTGCACCCTTCATAGTATCAAGAGTACATGAAATCCGGGTTTCATGGACTCTTGATAGTATCCAGGCTATCCCTCAGTGTCAGTTTGGAAATACTGCTGCCAGTAAAGGAGAACTGGGACGTGGGTCTGCGAGGGTGTGTGCTCGTGCCCCCTCCCTCATGAACACAGAAATCGTGAACGGTGGCACTCCATGCCGGAGATGCTGCGTGGATTTGGTCAGTTCAAAGCTTGAACAATTATAATAATTTATTATTCATTGCTGAGAGCTTTCACTGACAGAATGACATTGAGAAGCGGTCAGACAAAAATCAGTTCGAAAAAGCTGAGCGCGACAAACAGGACGCGATACTTTCGTCGTGCATGGGCGGTAGCTACCCCAGAAATACATTGCGTAACCCCGAAAACGAGAAAAAGATGAAACTAGACCAGGAGCTCAACAAAACAGCTTCGTGCTGACATCAACAAAGCACAACTGCAATGCATCGTGGTTTATAAGCCATAAATTATGCCAGAAAGCAACACCTGCGTCCTCCCGATCCCATCCTTCTCCCGTGCACTCACCGTCTCGTATTTCTCGAAAATCGCCAGTCGAGAGGCGTCAGCTTCCTCGTCCGAGGGCATGTCGACTCATCACATTCTCTTTCAACACTATTGTCACATACTCTTTGACCGCACAAACCAAACTAAGTTACTTTCTCACAAACGAGATCAACTCGGACTCTACCACCACAAATCCAGCAGTTGCACAGACTACGAACAAACGTCACCATCTCACCGGTCACCGGATCAGATCCAACAAAAAAGGTCATCGCGAAGCGCGCGTAGCCTAGCCGTAGGCTATCGATCCATTCCAGTGGCATTATGATTAGCGGTTGGCACCATGCTGTCCCGGGAGTAGTGAAAATTGTGCTCCCTGGCAGTTTGCATTTCGATACCGATCTGGATCTGGATCATGGATGGGGATCGGGAGTCGGAGCATGACTTGTAAACAGGGAGTCGTCAAATATTTGACGACTCCCTGCTTGTAAAGGTTCGATTTTTGGCTTGGCTCGGGTCTCTCTGTCTTTGACTATCACATCTGATCATGTTATCTCTCTTCGTTGCTGTGACCATGGCTGGATCGAGTTGATCTTCCCGGGACTTCGCAGTTCTGTGTTTTTGCCACGTTCTCTGGTAAGTCTGCAGCCATGTAACCCATGCACATAACCCTTCCCCTATCTGGGGGTTTGTGATTATAAAAACTGTTTCATCATACATTCACCCAGCACATAAACAGTAGTATGACTGTACTCTTGGCATTAGTACCAATACAAGGCACTCGTGATTGTACATGTCATGTATCTCCAATCAGGTCATCTGTCTCAGGGGCGTCGCACACGGTACGGTCACTACGGTATTGACCGTACCACTTTTTGCCCCAAGTACCCCATGAATCAATAAAATGCACTGATTTGGGCTCTAAATTTCCAAAATTCTCGGCTCAGCCATCCCTCCCGCACGAGTAAAGTGTACTTCAGATGGCTGACCGTACCACACTAAAATACCTTCCGACGCCCCTGTGTCTGATTCTGACATCATCCGGCGCTAATGCAGTCAGCTGCTCTGGCTGGTGATAGCTTTTAGCAGACTCTGCATTGAATTATTTGATTCACGTAGCGCTGACAATTCTTTTAAAATAGTGTGTATGGTGACGTACTCAAAGGCGTACACTATGACAGTGGAGTATTGCCGAGGATCAAGTAATACACTTTGCCGAGGATCAAGTCATACACCTTGCCGAGGATCAAGTTCAGTTAGAACAAAAGTCGCCGGCGGCTCTGCCAAGCTACTAGTGTAATTTGCAGTCGGGGACATTCCGCCGGCTCAGCGGTACTCAGTGTCATCTCTATCGGTTCCGCTTAAAGGCACTCGGCTGGCGCTCGCAGGCACGCCGGTGCTCGAACGGTGGCGCCATGCACGCAGCCAAGTCGGACAGAGCAATGCTCGGATTCTCGGCCACAACGCCGGCGAGATGGCAAAACTGGTCGGCCAGACCCTCCACCAGGGATGCCCGGATCAGCTGCGGCTGAAAGCGGAATCCGCCGCGAACCGACTCGTTCTCCAACATCTCCCAAAGCAACAGCTGCAGGAGTAACAGAAAGAAAGAAATGGAACACAGTTGGTTTGGTGTCCATGTCACAACGGAGTACTACAAAGTCTACAGTGTAGCAACCTTCCACCGCCCACTACAGTCGTAATGCCGAGCAATCATAGCACCTGGGTGCTATGATTGCTCGGCACACACACACACACACACACACACACACACATGCACACACACACACACACACACACATGCACACACACACACACACACACACACACACACACACACACACACACACACACACACACACACACCATGTATAGTACTGCCGGTCGCCGAAGAACTGGGGGGTCAGCCTCCTAGACCGTTCTCATTTTCATGTATTACAGTCTACGCGCAGTTGAGTCAATGTGTATACATTGGTATGCTCTGCTTGACGAAATTCTAGGCTGGCCATTGAGTTCGGCGCCCAGCAGTACAGGGCCTGCTCTAGACATTCAACACAGCCCGGTCAGAGTGTACCTGGCGCATGCAGGCCAGCCGGGTCAAGCCGGGTCAGATCATCCGGCAGAAAAACAACCAAAAAGCCTGCTCAAAACGCAGGAAAACAGAAAGGCGAATGTATTACCGGAAATCCGAAATTTTAGAGAACAAGGCGAACTATCAAAGTCCGCAAACGTAGAAGGTAAACGACATTATGTGAAGAATGCGAAGCAGTTGTTTGTTTGTTCGTTGTTTGTTTGTATTTATTTTGATTCGCAAATTCAAACGGGCATAGAACCCAATAACATGAAAGCGAATATGAAAATCATGCATAATGGGAATGAGAATTCAAATACTTTGATCTTCAACGTAGAGTCAGCGGTACATCAGAGGGAGATCGGGTACAACAGAAAGAGAACAGAAAAAAACAGATTTCGCTTGTCGACATCTACAGGGCACAGGTATAGGGGATTACCTGCGTGCGAAACTGCCGAGCGTGATGGATGGCACGGATGTCGCTGGGGAGGGCATCCCCTAGTTCCATTGGATTCTGATTTAACAAGTAATTTGAAAAAAAGGAATTCTGTTTTCTAATTAGTGCTCCATTGTCCAAATCGCCAGTTGGCTGAAAACTTGCAACTGTGTCAAAAGCTATAGCCAAAGTTACGCTTTTGACTGCCTGCCCCATCGACTTTGAATGTCCTGACGTCATGACTTCCTGCTCGCCGCTGGCCAGATCGCGCTCGAACCAGTTGACCCCAGTTGACCCTAGCCGAGTTTCTGTCGCTTGTAGACTGTAGTGTGTACGGTTGCGCTAGATTTGCAACAGATGGTGTCCGCGAGTCGTAAAATACCGGTATTTTAGGAATCCATTGTCAGTTTGAGAATTTTTCAGCCGGGTCAGACTTGACCCGGTGTTATCTGTTCAGCCAGGTCGTGCAGTTCCCCAGCCGGGCGCGTGACCCGGCTGACCCGGCTCTCCAGCAGGCCCTGCAGTACTGTCCACATGTACTTGCTCACTGCCAAAACTAGTCTCGTGGGTCTCCCGGGAGAGGGGAGAGAGACTCAAAAGAAATCTTGGAAAGATGACTCAATTGGCTATTGAACTGCCCAACGGCCAACACCCCTGAAATCCCCAAACTAGGGTGGACTTGAAATGATCCCAGTTATGGGCTCACCACACCTCAGTAAGTGGGTGGGGACACGGTGCAGAAAAAGGATTGACGACATCAGGGTATCCGTCCCGGGATCCAACTGCAGTTACCCCTGCCCCCAGTGAAGGTACACACACACACACACACACACACCACACACATGAACACACACACACACACACACACACACGTGCCCAACTATAGCCTCGAAGCACGTACTTCCAGGTGACAGTGCTCCTTGAGCTGCCCATGTTCTGGTTGCAGGTAGCATTGACTGCCAAAGCGAGCTAGACCCTGGCCAGGAACACCAACAGCCGTTTCCGTAAAGTAGAATGCCTCCGGATTGGTCAGGCATTGCACTTCTCGCCTTCTCAGAAATGAAAAGCTAACCGGCAGTCCACCGCGCACTCCGATCTGAAAGGCAGAAAGCACGGACAATGCAAAATCCTCATTCATGGCCGCGGGAACAACCAGCTTCATGCAATGAAAAATCCTGTTCGAGTTAAAGGGGAAGTATACCCTAAAATCAAATTTTCACCAGTTGTAGTCTTCGCGGGGGTGCTGAGTCGAATGGCCTTGGTCCATGTGTGGGGGGGGGGGGGGGAGGAGGAGGGCAGAGAAATGGGATAATTTTGTGTGGAAGCGGGTTTTGACCAGGTACACAATGTTTGTATTTCACAGACTTCTGGTTTACAAAACCTGATAGCATCTCCTTTACATCGCTTTTATATCTTACCAGCCTTCAGCCGTAGCACCTGCCATAAACATTCCTGTAGTCGCACATGCTCACCCTACCAGATGAGGTGTGTTGTCATGTATGTTACTGCATCGTAGTGTTCAACGTGATGGATAAGCTATGCACTTCTAGTTTTAATGCCATAATTTGCAGACCAATTCGTGGCCATGCAACATCTCCTCGGTCTGAAGAACTTCATACAAGCATTTACCTCATCAGATATGGAGCTGAACGGGAAGTGGATCTGTTTGCGTATAGACTTGAGGCTCTTGTCAAGTCCAATGAGTAGATCGCTGAATGTCTTGAAAGCAGGCAGGGTTACCTTCAAGCCAACGTCTGTCAACCGCAGACAGAAAAGACAGAGGAAAACAGAGACATATCAGTTAGACAGGCACGGGGATAGAGACAGACGGACAGACAGACGGACAGACAGACAGACAGACAGTGAGGGATGCACACATTACGGTGTTTCTAACTTTCTATTTTACATTTCTTATTGCCACCAACACTCAGGCAACAGGTTGTGTCTGCCTGAGCAAAGTCGATATACTGGTAGATGATGGTGTGAGTACTTCAAGTAGATGATTGCAGTGCACTCAAAGCCACTGCACAGTGAAACCTGTCTATAAGGCGACCCCTCAAGGGACGAGAAAAAGTGGTCGCCGTGGCCAGGTGGTCTTCTTATCCAGGTTCAGTGGGTCATGTGACCATATCTACATGTGATACATCATTTTTGATCAGTGCATCACAGTGAACACACCTGTGCTACTCTAGCACGACTCATGCGCCTGGGGTCTTCAGACCTGTCAAATGTCGTGCATGCACCAAGTACATCTACACTTCCTGCACTGATGTGTAGATCTACCATGCCTGGTGCACCATGCACTGCGTACATTTACATGACTAGCACTGTGCAACGCGGTCGCGGGTGGATGGTCGTCGGTCGCGTTGAGCGAGTGGTCGCCTTATCCGAGGTGTTTTGAACGTGAATGCGTCCGTGACAAGGAAAAGTGGTCACCATGGTCGAGTGGTCGCCATATCCGAGTGGTCGCCATTACAAGTTTTACTGTACATTCAAACATACAACGTAGTAGTTCAGGGCAAATCAGCGACATGCCTGCTACAGAAATTGCTTTGTACCACATTTACTGTACCGTTTGTCATCGGGCCATGGATGGTGGACATCTGCATGGGAGAGAGATCTCTCACTTGAAGAGGAAGACCGACGAGAAAGTAGCCAGCGCCCGGCGGGGCTGCGTTGAGATAACGCCGGGACGAGGGTTGGGCACGAGAGCTCGGTGGTCTCCTCTGCTGCGATCCTCCGGCGGCCTCACTGAGGGTGCCGAGTCGGGTTGAGCTCGTTTGTGACACATTCTGCAGCGGAGCACGGTTGTTAGCGCCGCCATCCCAGCCACGACAGCAGCGGCCCATCAGCACAACAAACAGGGCCAGTGACATCAAGAAGAGAGGGTTGTCGGCACTGATCCGCTGCCACACGGCCGCAGGCAGGTTCCGCTGAAATAGCTCTGTGATGTAGTCATCCACCTGCAAACATAAGCCATAAAAAGATGACATCATTGACAGCCTCCTTTCCTCTCTCAAGACCACAGGCGCGATAAGCTCATCGCGCAATGGCGCAGCTTGTACCACTGGCACCGGGTGACCCCACACGCCCACCTGGGCATGGTCGTGTGGAGTGTTGAACAGTGCATTGCTGATCCCAGCATAGTGAGCGTACTCACATGCATTACTCGTGCCTTCCATATTTGGCATGCACAGTGGGCTTTAAATATGTCATGGTGATATCATTAGCATGCTGTGACGTTTCATTACACGAAATGTTTGTCCTCCTGATGTAAACAAAGGTGCAAACAGTGCCAAACAAGCACCCACTCCTCCATCCTACAGCAATGCGACCACTTTGTACACATTTCATCCCCGTGCACCAGTTACTGTCAGAGGAATTCTGAACGCTGATTCGAATGCTTCATGCTGTACTATCACTTCTTGATGAGAGGATGTGCCAAGGGTGAATCTATTATCTTCAGGCCCGCCGGAACCGGTCTGGTTGGTCAGGTTATTACCGGACCAACTTTTTAGACATGTTTAGTGCTGTGGAGGGCATAGGTATCCAACATTTCGATACCCAACGTATGAAAGGCCACGATACTACCGAACCAATCAAAAACTGCTTCCGCTGGTCCTGACCTTGCACTTCAATTGGAGCTGCACTTCTGGACACGTGCAGAGCCCAGACCCATCTCAGAGTGAACATTTATCCATGGCATGCACCCAGTGCCCACGGCATGTACAATATTCATGCTGGATGAGAGCCAGGGCAGAGCCTTACCTTCAAGAATTTGAACGAGGTGAACGTACCGCCGACACTGCACGCTCCCGTGCGAGTGCGAGCGCTCTTTAGCAGGGCGGTGCGCCGAGCAGTCTCGCCGCGGACGTGGAACGGCAGCTGCAGGACGGGTGCGGGCTTCGACTTTTTCTGGCCCTGGCGAGTGAGCACCGTGAGCGTCGACTGCGCCTCCCACAGCTCCCAGAGCTTGCCCCGCGATCGCAGCTGCAGCAGTTCCGCCTCGCGCATGGCAACCTCCTGGAAGCGCACACCACTGCCTGCTACGGTGGTGGACGATGCCGCCGTCTTGGCAGGAGCGTGCCGTGCGTAGTGGTCCTGGATGGAGCTTTGGCCGGCCATCCTCGACGGGGACTTCATCACGGCGCCGTGCATGGGAAGGGATTGCATCCGGGAATTCGTGCTGCGCGTACGCGTCATCCTCTTGCTGGCGCCCGCTGCAGAGCGTTTATCATTGCCAGCGTGCTGTCGTTCCAGAGCCGTGTACGCCTTACAGATGCTCATGAAGAGCATGGATAGAGACCAGTAATCGGACACAAAGGACGGCGACGACAGCACAAGCAGATGTTCCTGAGTCGACGTGCTGATCACCTTTGCACGAAGCCACAAGACTACCATGCTCGGTTCCGAGCTCGGTCGTTCCGCTAGCTCATTCTGTGATGATGTCATTGATCGCTTGCTCTCCGACGCGGGCCCGAGTCGACTCGACGACTCGGCAAACGCATTTGTGGTGCTGCTCTCCACGCCCACACCGGCTACGGACAGCAACGAGGGTACCTGACGACTCGATAGCGGACCCGCAGCGGTGGCTTTCTGCTGCTCGGCGATCTCGTCGAGTCCTTCGCCACGACTGATGTGGATGACACTTGACCAAGGGCGACGCTTCAGTGCACTGCCAATGCGCCGTGCTCTCGTGCTGGTGTTAACCTATACACAGAGTAACAGATCCATATGGTCAGTACAATGGACATTACTGGTTTGTATATCTGCAAGGATCACCGCAGGAAGATAGAACATGGCATGCATTTAACTTATAGAGGACGATAGCTGCTCCCGGCCCTTGAGTCAAGACAAGGGAAGTGTTAGCTTTACTACTGTAGCGTCACTTGTACTTGTGAGCTCCAGCGCGGAGAGCAAACACTTTACTTGTACAATTACAAGTTCTGAATCTTATATCTCATACCTGCACGTCATCCAAATCAATTATGCTCATTTTCGAGGAGAATGTATTGACACCGGAACCCCGTAAGGCGCTGTTGCGTCGTTGCCCGTGCTTCTTGGCTGTCCCCGCCCGTGCCGACAGCGGCCCGTCGCTTTCTTCCGGTAGCTTGTCCAGCCGACGGCCGCGCATCATGTGCGACTTGCTGGTTTCTGCTTCCGCGACGGTGCACTCGACCAGCAGTCCCTCGCGCTCCACTTCCTCGCGGTCAATGGGGTAGAGGTGCACGTGGAACGGTCGCCGGCGTGCGTCTCCGATGGCTTCGGACGTGCTGCCACTCAGCTCATGCTCCAGATGAACCCGAACAGGATCTAGTATAATACCAGGACACAATGGATACAGGGACAAAATTAAACTACATGCAACTTCATGTGGAAGTCCGCTTAGATACAAATGCAACACATGATTGGTTGAAAACGTCCTGGCTTCGAAATGGGAATGACTACATTATAAACACAGCAGCTCCCGTGTGGGAGATAGCTGAAACAACCGCATGCTGATAGGGAAAAGGAAGATCTAGTGGAAGTCTCTTTTCAAAAAACTAACCCGCAAAGGCAGACATTAAGTCCCTCTACAGATGGCACAGTACTGTCGGTCGCCGAAGAACTGGGGGGGGGGGGGGGGGGGGAGAGGGGGGTTAGCCTCCTAGCCTAGACAGTTCTTTTTTTTCATGTATTCTAGCCTGGTCATTCTTCGGCGATCCGTTCTCCGGCTAGTACTGTAGGCTACAACACAACTGACCTTTGGCCGCACGGCAAAACAGCTGATCTCTATACTGGTAGAAGATCACACGCAGCAGTGGGCACTTTGCCACCTCTTCTCCGATTGCCTTCTCCAGTATCTTGCAGTCCAGTGGGCCGCGTATTGCAAAGCTGCGTACCACGTTGTCAATGCCCGCGCACAGCTCAGCGCCTGCCGACGACGGATCCAGGTGCCGCAGCGTGCGGTGTTGCGCGATGGCCAGTCGAGCGTCGATCAGAGCGTGCTCCTGCATGATGGTAGCCGGAAACAGACCAAAGTCGTTGTCGGCGCTGGGAAACTCCAGCATGATGCTCCGGCGACGGCGTCGCTGAGGGGCCGTTCTCTGCTCCTTGGTGTCTGCCTGTTCACTGGACATGCCCTCGCTTGCTTGCTTGTCAGCACCATGCTGCAGGAAGCAGGACAATTGTAATGAGTACAGGATGTGCTGTTAATGAAGGCTGTGAAGTACAGTAAGACCCTATGTTTGCTGGACCCTGTACCCCTGTACCCCTGTACCCCTGTACCAAGCGGAACCCTAACCGGACACATAGGGCTTGAAAGTGATGACGTCAAAAACGGCCAGGGAGTAGTAAGTTGACGTCAGATTTCTATTTTGGATCCACTGAAGTGTGACTTTGCTATTGCCTCAGTATGTGGGTGCATAGCAACCCACTCATGTCGTATGCAGGGGTGACTTTTACTTCGCCACCAGTTGTAACCCCGCCCCCAGTAGCCAAATCAGTCAGTTTCACTGGTTACATCACCTTGCTGTGAGTAAGACGGCTTGAAATGTGCTTGGATCCATACAAAAACTGGATCCAAGTGGATCCAATTTTTGAATTTTTGAAATTGTGGCTATGCTGTGACGTAGCACTTTCAAGCCCTATTGTCAGTCCAACAAAGTGCTGTGGATCGAACATGCATCCCTGGATCAAGCGGAATCTTGTCATATCAGGACAGCTTCCGCTGCACCAAGGGTGTCCGGTTAGGGCAGGTTTTATTGTGTACCACCTTGGTTTTCTCCAGTTACTGAGTAGTAAGCATGTTCAGCTGTGACTAAGAAACAAATAATTGCATGCATGCAGCCGACAGGTCTTTTGTGACTGGATATTGTGTTCCTGCTGGCTGCCTTGAACCCATGTGCATGAAAAATGGTGAGCGCCAGATTCCCAAGCAATCTAAAACACTGGCTGCATTCACATGACGTGTTTGACACTAGCTGAGCCCAAACTACAACTAGCAGGGCCCGGAGTGGTCTGCACATAGACTCTTGCTTGGTTCCGCCTTGGGTTGTGTGTGTGTGTGTGTGCGTGTGCGGTGTGTGTGTGTGTGTGTGTGTGTGTGTGTGTGTGTATGTGCATGCGGTGTGTGTGTGTGTGTGTTTGTGTGTGTATGTATGTGCACGCGCGCGAGCGTGCGTGCGTGTGTGTGCCTGCTCCGTTTGCGCATGTGAATGTATGCGAAAGGACACAAGAAATCTGAATCTTCGAAGAATTGTGAAACCTGAGGCCTTGCCAAATGTGGCAGTAATCTCGGGCTCCATACCTCTTCATCACCAGAAGACTCCTCTTCGCTGTTGTCACTCTGCTCCTGTTCGTCCAGCACAACGTCCTCGTCCTCATCCTGGTTCTCTCCGAAGTGATCGTCATCCTCTTCGTCGTCGCCACCCCCGCCATCACTGGTACCCGGTACAATGGGTGGCAAGCGGACGGTCGTCAGGCCAGAGCTTCCCACCTCTGGCAGTGATACTGCACGCGGAGAGCTCTCTTCAACATCCCGACCTGGCGCAGCACGTTCGGAACCGCTTCGTGGTCGCTCCGAGGCTTTGGCAGGACTGGCGAAGTTCCAAACCTCAAACTGCAGATCGCAGTCACCCGTCCGGCTGTTACCCGAGAAGCGATTGAACCTCTCCGTTGCGTGTTGCTGTTGACTGGCCGTAAAGCCCATCGAGGCACCAGGAGCGTGGCGGGAAGGTATGCGTCGTCCTGACGGTGGTGGCACAGTCGCATTGCCCGGCTTCGCGGAGGCCAGCCATGGCAGTTGACTGCTTCGGCCGCTTGCTGATTCTCCGCCGGCTCCCGTCCATCTGCGCTGTCTGTCCGGCGGCGCATTGCTGCCGAAGCGCTTCGCTCCATTCAGACCTGCAGCCGGCGGGGCAGCAGCTTGCTGAGTTCCGCGGAACATTGAGAAGCGGTCATCCGCAGTAGACGCCGCATAGCTTGGCGTCTTCGCGGCATTGGTGCGAGGCCGAAACGGCGGGTTGGTCATTTTGACTTTCTGCCCATCCAACTCCTACTCGAACCGACGAAAGAAATTTTTCCCCTCCCTCAAAAAATGCTGGGAGTCTTCTTGATCTTCTGAAAGTTCTTTCCTGGACACACGCATCGATTGTATGTGCACATAGACTAGGCTCATCAATTCATTGCGGACATCATCAGACCACACAAGGTTGGCTGGAGCTTCGAGGGTGGCCTTCTAGCGCCATGGCGCATCCATGGCCTTGGGATAAGTATTCCACTATTTTGACATGCAGGACGGGCCGACTCAGCATCGGAGAACGTGTCAAATTCCTCTGGATCGCGTGTCACCACGACCATGGGCTCGCATGCGCAGGGAGTCACTACGGACCACCCTTCCGCAGGTGTCCAGCAGTGTCGGACAGTTGGTAAGTGATAGCTAGCCTATCTACAACAGTACAAGCTTGCGCAGACGTACATGTACATGCTTGTACATGTACACTACAACACTGGAAGACGCTACCGTAGCACTTGCTTGCATCAGGACAGGCGGAAAGAGTTTTTGATTGGTTCGGCCATACCCTAGCCTTTCATACGTTGTGTATGCTATGGAGGGTATAACGTTACACAAAACCTACTCAGCAGCTACCACACATTGGTGGCCAAATAGTCACTAAGTGTGTCCAGCCATGGCCTGACCAACCGGACCGGTTCCGCCGGGCCTACAAGCCCTTGGCGGATTATGCCGGCATAATACTTGGCATAATCTTGGGATTTCGTCAAAAAATTATGCTCCGGCATAATATACGGATTCCAACGTGTAAGGTCGGCATAATCCTTTCGGTTTAGACAAAAATTATGCTTAGGGCATGGCCGTGTGTGTATGCGTGGTTTCTCAATCCTCTATGTACAGCGTGAATACATAGTGGAACCGAGCATATTTCAGCATAATTCAGCATATTTGTTGGCATAATTGTGGCATAATCAAAAGCATAATTTTGACGATTGGCCGAGCATAGTCCGCCAATGGCTAGCCGGGCCTGCAATGCTGGTTAGCGGCAGTAGACTATTGCATGCTGCTCATACACGGCATACACTGTGAAAAAATTTAATAGCTCCAACGTCTTTGGATGTGAAGAGCTCAAACTTTAGTTTTACAAAAAGAAGTGTGCCATCTTTTCCCTTCCAGAAATGATATTCGTGTGCAGGGTACATAATACTGTACTGACAGCTTCAAGTTCTTGGAGACAAATTGCACACTGAGTGCACTGATCACACCTACATGATTGCTCTCTGTCTCGCTATGCACACTGTGGGAAAATAACAAACTTCAGGCTCCTCACAAGCAGCAGTTTAGAAAAGCCGTTCCACAAAATACTCTTTCAATGCCTCAGTTCTCGTCATTTTTGTAAAAATTCAGTAATTTAGCTCAGCTACCCACCTCCCAGTTGTAAATTATTCCTTCAGTGCTTGGATTTCACCGGAGCCTGAAGTTCATTCTCAAGTTTCCAAAGCGGGGTAATGCATTTTGTTGAACTTATGGCAGCTTGAAAGTGCGAACTGAGACTGAGAAACAAATTCCAAAGCTCGAGACCCCATAGCATAACTTTTTCTGAAGCACAAGGAACGCATGAGTATCCCAATGTGCATGAGCATCCCCATGTGCATGAAGATCATTTCTATACGGTCTAAGCTTGCCAGAAAGCAACTTCGAACAGGGATAACAGCACATTTCCTGACTCTGAAAGTAAGAAGAGAGCTCAAACACATTGATTACTTGTGGAAGTAGTTTGCATGCAAAGAATTACAGGCTTGCATACATGTACATGCAATGTGACACATTCAGTTTATACATCATAGTATAGTGTGACAGTGCAGCAAGTATGCATTCACTTTGTCACTGTCTGTCTGTCTCTCTCTCTCTCTCTCACGCGCGCACGCACGCACACCGGACCTCAGACATGCCCATCGCGGAAGCGATGATAGCGAACAGCTATGTTAGACATAGCAACTTGTGCTGGGATTACACCATTCAACAGCTTGCAAGGCTGATGAATTGACCGCCACTATTTTTAGCCTGGTATCCACCACACAGCTGTTTGAAGTGACTTTTTCTGGCCAGTGAATCCCTATTTTTCATTTTTCCATTTTTTCCTACACACACACACACCACATACTCCGGCATACACACACACGCGCACACACACACACACACACACACACACACACACACACACACACACACACACACAGACGCAGTGCCAAGGTTGTTTCATTTCACATGCATGTACAGCACTGACATACATACACGTAGCGAATGGCAGCCGCACACGTTGTTAGAGAGCATAATCAAAGATTGATAACGCTACCATCAGGGAGCTGGTTACCATGCACTTTGTTCATGTCATTGGGCTTCTCCTTGCTTCCCAATGATTTAGTTCACCAAGAAACAAGACTTGTATTGATCTCAGCCAGGTTTTAGGCCGATTCAGTCAGGTTCTCATGGGTTCGAACTACAGTAAAACCTGTACTGATTAAAGGCCACCGTGACTAGCGACCAGCCTGATTCTACAGACCACTTCGCCAGGCATGGACGGTTTCACATTCATGTATGGTCGTGCAGTGCAAACCTCTAACTAACGACCACCTGCCACTAAAGACCGCTTTCTCTGGCCCCAAGGGAGGGGTGGTCGTTAGTCACAGGTTTTACTGTATCCACATCCTTTGAGGATGATAGATTGACATTTGCAAAGTACATTCTGCAACTGGTTGCCGAGAGTTTGGTCCGAATTTTGGGAAGTTTACATATGCCGGTATCCGGACTCTGGCCTGAAGGTAGCAGTACCCCAGACAGACGGCCATTATTATGGATATCTCGTGCAGGCTTCACACGTCCGCGTTTTCAAAGAGCACTAGGTGCTGGTTCCGCCGGTACAGTGGTCGCGCGTCCAAGAACGTTGTTTCCAAGGGGATAGCCTGGGACGTTCTTATTTTTCAGCAATCTGGCTGCGTTCTTATAGCACGTGCGTCCTGGGATCATAATTATGTACATGTATCCCACAAGCTGCCAGAAAACCAAAACCGCCGTTCTTAGCTTTATGCTGTGGCGTTCTTAGTATTTCAGGCTGGAAGTTCTTGGGCTCCACGCTCTTCAGCGCGCAACTCTACTGTGTAATGTCCCTGTGCCAATGTACAAGTAAAGCGATAGGTCGCACATCAGTAAGCATTTCACTTGATGACGTTGACTCCAGTGCATGCGAGCCAACAATTCTATTCACAGCAAGTGGTGAAAAAAGATTGAAACTCGGTGCAGTAAAGACAAGAAATTTTGTTTCAAAATATAAGAATTAAAAACCGTGTGACAGTATGTATTATGTACACCTAAAAATACATTGATGCAGCTCAGAATACACTTAAAAGTACATCGATGCTGCTCAGAATGCACTTAAAAATACATCGGTGCAGCTCAGAATATATACAGTATGTACAGTACACTGCAAGGAATACAATAACTGCAAGAGATACAAGAAAAGTATGGTTAGAAAGGATCAAGGTGTGAATATGTACAATGTTTTCTAGTTTTCCATTCGAAGCACAACAGTGCCAGGCCCAAGCGGGGCTCTGCCCAGGCTACTGCTGGGGTTAGGGTTGTTGCCAGCAAACCCCTCTTTCTAAGGAATGCAGGGCGCTGATATCGGTGAGCAAGATATACACACGCACACACGCACGCGGGCTCTGATCACGACCAAACACCCTGCTCGATGACGCCCAGATCGCCGATGTCATCCTTGATGATCTGGATGAGATGCTGCAGGCCTTCTTGTTGCTGCTTCAGATGCTGAGCACACAGCGAACATGCAGCAAACACACAGCAAGGCAATAGAACATTGATCGGAGAGTGCGCACTGCTGGATGGCAGGGTCTAGGCTGCCTCTGCAAGTTTGACATTTCATAGACATGTTACTTGGCATACCACACCAATGAGCCCATTGCACAATGACATGATTTGTACCATAAACACCCCACACAACCACACGGGCATGGTCGTCTAGGGGTGTTGAACAGAGTGCATTCATGGTCCCAGCGTACTCACATGCATTACTCATACCTTCCAAATTTGACAATGCGCAATGGGCTTATAGACCAAGGGCACGATTAAACACACAGGTGTAGACATACCCAATTGCACTCAAACCTTGTGTGAAACGTTACTGGTGACACACGTCATTATAGGTAAAACATTATTTTGGGATGAAAAGTGGACAATACTCCGGTATTATGATAAAGCTGCTTTACCGGTAATCTACTCAGCAGATGCTCACCTGACGTATGTGGCCCATAGTGTCTGGATCAATTGAGTACTCGGCTTCTGAATGCGCTGTCGACACCTGGTGCTGCATTCTGATCTGTGACATGAGCTCATTTAGACGACCCTGTGGGTATAATATGTGTGCGTGAGGTGGGGGGGGGGGGGGGAGAAGAGAGAGAGAGAGAGAGAGAGAGAGAGAGAGAGAGAGAGAGATAGAGAGATAGATAGAGAGAGAGAGAGAGAGAGAGAGAGAGAGATGGAGAGAGATAGAGAGAGAGATGGAGAGAGAGAGAGATGGAGAGAGATGGAGAGAGAGAGAGAGAGAGAGAGAGATGGAGAGAGAGACGGAGACAGAGAGAAAGAGACATGAATGAAGCACATGCACCCAGAGACCTGATCAATAGTCTACAATAAACACCGTCAGCAAGCCAACGAAAGGTGACAGCACCAACCCAATGCACATCATGTCAAGTGCCAAACTGAAAGAAAGCAAACCCCAAGTAAGTACAGGACTAAGAGGATTGAAACCATTCACCACTCTCTTACCTTGAATTGTGTCGGTGCATTCAGCTCTGAGTGCAAATGCTCCAGGTTTGCACTGGATAGTATTGAACAAAGAAAAACCAAAATCAGCAGGCACTTGTACAGTTTAGTCTTAGATCAGTCTAATCTCGACCACAGAACTGTTGTCTATTTTGAAAGTACACACATGTACATTCACACATTCACACACACACACACACACACACACACACACACACACACACACACACACACACACACACACACACACACACACACACACACACACACACACACACACACACACACACACACACACACACACACACACACACACACACACACACACACACACACACACACACACACACACACACACACACACACACACACACACACACACACACACACACACACACACACACACACACACACACACACACACACACACACACACACACACACACACACACACACACACACACACACACACACACACACACACACACACACACACACACACACACACACACACACACACACACACACACACACACACACACACACACACACACACACACACACACACACACACACACACACACACACACACACACACACACAGCTCAGTCAAAGCTCGACCACATTACTGTTGTCTATTTTAGCTTGTATCCGGGTTAGAAGTACACACGCATACACACACATTGAGTCAGCAACAATTCAATCAAGCTCACCGCAAGTGGTCCTCATCAGCTCGCACAGAATAACCTGACTTGCGCATCACCTCCTGCCTGACGAGTACGCGTAGCAAGCGGTGACTTAGTTCCAGGTGCTTGCGCTTGTACTGTGCCAGCTTTGCCATGGTTGCCGCATGGTCGTGGCGGATTTTCTCAATGTCACGAGCGATAACCTAAAGGAGAGGCAGGTCAGGTCGTACAGCAACAGAAATACACACCATGCGGTGCAGGTGGATGCACGGGCAGACGGATAGACACACACACGGACACACACACATGTCAAGTCTACTTCACGCTCAGCATCTCCAGGTCCGGAATGCCACAGCCGAGGATAGCAATGGCACACCGTACAAGCAGCACTGCACCGCTTGCTTGTAGGAGAAGGTGTTTGCCACTACACTCCAGTGTAGCAGCCAGCACATGCACATACAGTGAAACTTGTCTAAGACGACCGCTGCTCAAGGGACCTTCAAAATCTGGTCTCTGTTACCAGGTGGTCTCCTTATCCAGGGTCATTTGACTGGAAATAGCATTCCTTGGTGCTGGTTTCAGTGGTCTTCTAGGACAGGTAGTCGCCGTGACAGGTTTTACTGTACAATAACTAACGGGAGGAGCATGCACTGGGAGTCCATCACCTTGCCAACGGTGACGACTTGCATGTATGGAGACCAAATGTTTCTAACACCCCGCATATTGTGATTCTCAAAGTGCACAATTGCTGTCAGAAATGTACTCTGCTGGTGTGAAAACGACTGCAGGCTCAACTGACCTCCACTCTGGCTTGATGCTGTTGACGCTGCAACTGCTGCTGCTCCAGGCGCGCCTTCAATTCTGAAAAGCCGTAGATGGGAACGGGGATAAGCCTGGACAAGGAAGAGTGCACAATGAAGAAGCCACACTCCGAGTGAATACTGGCGTACATGTACATTGATAACATACAAAATGGCAGCAACAATCTCGACTCCATTCTGGAGGCTAGTGCGTGAAGAAGAAGGTACAATGCAACAGAACTTGAAAGAAATTCTAATATGCACCAACAAATATTGTACACCATGCACATCTTGCTGGCAGATAACCATAAGGGAAAAATATAGTTTCACAAGAAAAAGTGCAGCAGATAAAGATGATTTCTTGCCACTGTGGAAAACACAGACTTACCGCTCGGGATCGGGGTTCTCACGCTTGGCTCGGTCCCACATTGCTTCATCAATGCCTGCAGTACACATTTACAGAAGCACGCACACATGCATGCACACCCACCCACACGCACACATTGTACACACACATAATTATACACATGCACACAACAGGGTAAATTCACCAGGTCTTCCAACATGTCTCATCCACATTCAGTCCATAGTTCAGACCAGAAGTAAGCACAACACGTTTCCAGTGATGATTTCTCAAGAGAAAAAGACGTGCGGAAAAGAAGTCTGCAGCGTTACAAAGAAAACCAGAAAAGACTGAATCATACCTTGCGGCGGTCGATCTAGGTAGCATTTCTTTTGTTCCGCCGTCAGACCACTTTGTAGGATAACATCCCCAACAGAGAGATTCTTCAGACCATTCTATCACACACAAACACACACAAGCACATACTGTATAGCAGGACATTTTCGGACAAAGCCGAATTTCGACCTTTCGTACAGTGCTGCATGCTAAATGCACGTGTTCGCATGCGGTACGCATGTATAGTGTACGTAACTTCACAGGAACAAATTTTAGCACGGAATTAATTTTAGTACAAAAGAGGCCGTGTACGAAATCGTACGAAAATAAATTCCGTCCGAAAATTTCCTGCTAGGCAGTAACTTATTATGTTGCCAGCTACATGTAGAATGGCACGTGGTCGCTCACTGCTCGTAAAAGTCGAAACACAGACACTCTAATGCCTCCAGACGAATAATACAAGCCGTACTCCACTTCCAAATCAGAAAAGGCCCATCTTGGAATTGTAGCTCTGGGTAAACGTCTTGACAGCGCCATGATCAGAAAAGTGCCTCTGAGCTTCCTGCATTGAAAATTATTGCTCGAGACGTGACCACTTCCACAAGTCAACAATACAGATATCCTCACCACTACGTGTCTGACTACACCCACAGCAACTTCTCTTCTTCTTCCTCTTCGTCACTGCTGCCAGAGATCAGCAGTACAGGTGATTACAAGAACATCAACAACATGCAAGCGTGCTCCAGCTTCACTACTCACTGCAGCCGTGGGACCCTTCAGGAAAGCATAGAGCTGCGACGCCTTCAGACGCTCCGTAGTACCGGAGACTGGCGACCGCTCCAGGATGTAGATGACAACTTCCGTCCTGGGACAGAGCAATAACAAAAACACGTCACGTTGTGGCCATAGTAGTGAAAAGCACCCAAGAGCCTGGAGATAGACCCAAATCGACGAATACATTGCATAATTGAACCTCGTTGTCCCGTGGTCTCATGATGTGTACCATGCACTTTTGACATAAAACCGGATTGTTTTACAAATCGCCAGTGTTTCGAAATCCTGCAAAAAGGAATCCCCATGCTGGAAACACGTGCAGGACCATCTCAATTTGCACATTTTTGTTGTTTGTGCAGCGTAAATATTGTGTGCACTCCATGTTGACAGTTATGCAGCCAGGTATACGGACAAGGTGTGGACAGAGAGTCACATTCAGGTGAAAATGTTTCGAAAACCAAAGGCATCACAGAGCGACAGGCCCCCCTTGATTAGAGAGGAGGATAGAATTGGTCTCATTTGCAACGCCAGCTTCGGAATAATCAACCATCAAACGGAACACAAACGCGTCTGTCTTCATTCGGTGAGATACATGTACCGGTAAGCAAGAGGCTGCACAGCACGAATCATCTCCTTCTTACTTGTTAGAGGGCAGTGGTCGTATACTGTCCACATGCACAGACAGGTTAGGTTTGGAGCCAGCCAGTTGGTGCAGGCCAGTGGATATCGCGTCACTCTTTGTCCGCACATTGTCCTCGGGAAGGTTGATGACCAGCGCCACCAGACCATTCTCGTCACGCGCCTCCGGCAAACGGCTGTATAACACGGTCTGCAACACACAGTACACAGACATGCACATACGCATACATACATACATACATACACACACGCACACACACACGCATACGTCAGTCTTGTCTTCAACATCCTATGACTACAATGTAGCACGGTCACCACATTGATTCTGCTGCATGCAAAACTTTCACAAATCCGCTTGGACATACAGACACACACAGACACACACACACCTTCAAGCAGGCAAATGGACTGTTCTTGGCGAAGGTGACGGTGCGACCCTGTGCATCAACTACACCGGTGCCTTGTCCCCAGTACGCCTGCAGTTGGTTCAACTTTGCAATAGTCAGGTTTCGGTCAGAGTCATTGAACACACTCGGCATGGAAAGAGCGGCCGCCAGCAAGTGTAGCTGGTTGGCCTGCTGTTGTTGTTGCTGTTGTTGCTGTTGCTGCTGTTGTAGCAGCTGTTGTTGCTGCTGCTGTTGTGTGTTGAGCCCTGCAAAACATGTGAATAGGTCCAGCACAACACATGGTTATACTCTACTGCTAAGGACAGATTGACTAAGGCATGATCACATGATGATGGTTGGCAGGGCGATGATGGCAGAAATGACCAAATGACAGAGAGTGAGTGAGTGAGTGAGAGAGACAGAGAGAGCTTCTAGTAGATAGGTAGACGGAGAAGCTGCACCATCACAGCCGGCAACACACCGGGACAACAACCAACAACAATTACTGCTACCACAATCGTCACATACACCGCAAGCTACACAACTCCTTGCTTACAATACACAGGGCAATATGGGCTGTACACGGGTAGGCCTTTGACTAGAACACGAACAATCATAACAGTGCCATATGGGAATGTGTGATGTACTTCAGCACTGATACAGGACTGGCCAGTGCAACTCAATCGCTATGCTCTTCCTGACCCACAACGTAGAGGTGATAACATTTTAAGTTTTTGACACACGGCCCGTCACATCAGGTACAGAATACAGAAGATTTAGGTCTAGTACCTATCATGTTGAAACTTCCAGGAGCCAATCCAGCCCTGGCACCGGGTACTGGAAGTGGGATCATATAAAACAGCAATCAGTGGGATCAGCAACACAGACCCTAGCAAACCATGTCTGCTGATACCACAGCTGGTAATACCAACACGATAACTGAAGGGGGCGAGCACCAGTTCAACACCCGCCACAAACCGTTGCCATCAGATGACGGTGCTGGGCGGCATATTACGGCAACACACCGGGACAACAACCAACAACAATTACTGCTACCACAATCGTCACATACACCGCAAGCTACACAACTCCTTGCTTACAATACACAGGGCAATATGGGCTGTACACGGGTAGGCCTTTGACTAGAACACGAACAATCATAACAGTGCCATATGGGAATGTATGATGTACTTCAGCACTCATACAGGACTGGCCAGTGCAACTCAATCGCTATGCTCTTCCTGACCCACAACGTAGAGGTGATAACATTTTAAGTTTTTGACACACGGCCCGTCACATCAGGTACAGAATACAGAAGATTTAGGTCTAGTACCTATCATGTTGAAACTTCCAGGAGCCAATCCAGCCCTGGCACCGGGTACTGGAAGTGGGATCATATAAAACAGCAATCAGTGGGATCAGCAACACAGACCCTAGCAAACCATGTCTGCTGATACCACAGCTGGTAATACCAACACGATAACTGAAGGGGGCGAGCACCAGTTCAACACCCGCCACAAACCGTTGCCATCAGATGACGGTGCTGGACGGCATATTACGTCCGTATTGAGTGCCTTGTGTTCGCAAACACAACACGAAGCAATTGGTGGCAAGTGGGCTGAGGATAGACATGCCAGCTGAAGTCCATGCAGTACATGTATAAACTTTTTTTAAAAGCTTGGCATGGTTTTAGGCACCTGCAAATATGACTCTCAGCCCCGCTGCCATGCACACGTGGCACGAGCAAAACATTCTGCTAAGCTGCTTGTCAAACAGCGTACGGAATGCAGCGCAAAGTTTTAAACGTTCCAGTACCTATCATATTGAGAGGTTGCCCAGCTGCCAGTCCAACCCTGGCACCGGGCACTGGAATGGGATCAGACAAGCAGAACAGCCAGTGGCATGAGCAACACAAGACTACACCACAGCATTGCCACCAGTACTAGGTGTACCGGTGGTATCAACAGCACACACACGTATGAAAGCAATGACAACACATCAGCTCACGGCCTGCCACATAGAGACGGCCGTGCCACCAAAACTTGTGCATTGGCTCCCAGGACGGGACATGACTGGCAGTATTGGATAAAAATGGCAGAGCAATTCTTTTTCAAACACCCAAGCATTTACCCCCGTAAATTTGTTTCAAGCAAGAGTGCAATTACGGCAACGTGTCTGCGTTTGGTATGGGATTATACAACAGGCCCGGCGGAATCGGTCCGGTCGGTGAGGCCATGGCGGGACCAACTTTCTGGTCACCAACGTGTGCTTACTGCTAGGGAGGGCATGTGTCTACCCTTCATGTCATACACACAGTATGGAAGGCTAGGGTATGGCGGGACCAATCAAAGCCGGCTCCTGGCGGTCATGTAGATCTACAACCAATGTGCCGCAACAGTGGCCTGCATAGTTTCTGTGTATGAGAAGGTGAGAACAGGATCCTGCAAATGCACACAGGGTTTCTTCTGGTTTCCCCTCCAGAGTCTGCATGCACCTTTTTAAACAAATGGTGAAAACGGCACCATTGGTGAGCACTTGGCAATGGCAAAGGGAACAAAAAAACCACCGCCTGTAATTTTGCATGCGAAATTGTGAGCCACAAATGCTCTAACAGACCGCTTCTACCACGGCATATGGTGTGTGGAGCAGGATTGAGTTCTACATGCAGTGCCTATCAGTGAAGTACCTATCATATTGAGAGGTTGCCCAGTTGCCAGCCCAACTCTGGCACCGGGCACTGGAAGAGAATCATATAAAACAGCAATCAGTGAGATCAGCAACACAGACTCTAGCACACCACGGCTGCTGATACCACAGCTGGTAATACCAATACAGTCAGACCTCGCTTAACCGCACAAATCCGTTTTACAGAAAAATATCCGGATAGGCGAGGGAACCGGATAATCGAACACACATACTGTATGTAAGCATGGCATATGCTGTAAATTGGTAACCAACGGTTTTCTTCCGGATGGCGAGGGATCCGGATAAACGAGGACCGGATAAGCGAGGTCTGACTGTACAACCACCGAAGGGGTAAGCACCAGTTTAACACCCGCCACAATTTGTCAGATGACAACGTTGGAAGGAAAAGTACTTTCGTGTGCATTGGCTTCGCATCCACAAAGCACAACACGAAACGATTGGTGGCAACTGGGCTGAGAATATACACGTTAGCTGGATGTATGACATTTTTTGAACTGGGCAAGGTGTTGGCAACTGCAAATGCGACACTCGGCCCCGCTGCCATGCACACGTGGCGTGAGTAAACGTGTTCTGCTAAGCTACTTGTCGCAAATAGGGCACTATTTTAGTCATGAGGCCGAATTTCTCTGGTCAGGAATTCACCACAGCGCTGCTCAATGAATCTGACCAAGCGAGTCGAGAGCCGAGTGCCATGCAGTCGAGAGCCGAGTGCCATGCAGCACAAGACCTGCAGACAATGGGCTGTGAACTGGCGCAGGGCACAAACTTCGAGTTTTTCAACATTTCAAGACGAATATCGTCACTGGGTTTCCAACATCCTCCCTCCGTTCAAACCAACCACCAAATCGACATACATGTACTTGAAGTAGCAGCAGCAGCAGCTTCAATGATACTGCTCTTCACTGACAGTGTATACCTAGGTATTCTATCATCTAATTCAGGTTGCAGCCACTGCTGCCGTGGCAACGTACCCACAGCTTGCTGCAGGCCCTGGCGGCCGCCCAGTGCAAGGCCAGTACCGCCGCCGCCAACAACTGCTACGCCTGCTCCCACTGCACCAGTGGTACCGGCGCCCGGGAAGGGAAAGGCAGACTGGCCACCGGTCAGCGTGGGTCTCCCAACGCCTGACAACAACAATAACAACAGCGGCGAGCGGACAATCATCGTGGACAGGACATGGACGAACGCATACACACAGATATACATACATACATACACACACACAGAAATGGCAAGACAAGTGACAGGGGTGCGTGGCAAGGCAAGTGGCTGGGTGTGTGACATGGCATGGCGGCTATCAAGCAATCACAAAATCAGCAGCCTGACATATGCTAGTGAAAAGCCTGAAAACAGACCGGCATTGAATGAATGTGCGGCAGTGTAGACAAGAGCACACTTGCTCCTTGTTTTGTAGCCAGATTCGACAAAACAAGGTCCATCAATTCCTCCAATCTCTTTCTTGGTCTGAAATTTTAGCAGTACAGAGATTTGTTACAGCTTGAAGTGGGATTATCTTACCTAAGCCAGTCGATGCGCTTGTGGCACCGAGTCCTCCTAGTGTTAGACCCGTCTTATTTCCTGTAATATACAGTTGAGAGAGAGAGAGAGAGAGTGCGTGTGAGAGTGTGTGTGCGTGCGTGTGTGTGTGTGAGAGAGAGAGAGAGCGAGAGAGAGAGAGAGTGAGAGAGAGACCGCAGAACAACACAAGAGCAACGGCAGTCAACAAACAAATGCACACATGCACACACATGCGCACACGCACACACCACCACTGCCGCCACCACCACCACCACCAGTCCCAAGCAACGCACACAAAACTGCAAGTGGCTGCACACCTTCGAGCTTCTCTAATAGCAACAAGAACATACAGGATCTGAATGAAGCAGACCAAGATTTGTGCTGCGTCTACACTACACACATTCATGCACACAATGAAATTGGGGACGTGATGAGAAGGGACCCGGAACATACACCTGGTCTACACCGGTGTCTGCTCTAGGATTGTAGGACAGCCGGGTACACGTGTACCTGGCGCAACCATTTCAACTGGGTCGGAGCCGGGTACACATGTACCTGGCGCTGTCTCACCAGCCGAGTCACATGCTCTTTAACTGGTTGGTTGGTTTATTTTAATTCGGACAATAAACGGGAACTAGGCCCGATGATATACATGTAAAGGCGACTGGATAAGCCGCATTTAGAAAAGAGAGGACAGGAATTAGAAAATTACGAAAGAAGAAGAAGTATCTGACACATACAAGCCATGTAGTCAGTCCTTTCAAAATTCGAAAGTGTAAAGTACCAACCGGGTCACAGGTGACCCGGTACTATATTTTCAACCGGGTCCAAGCGCCGCCCAACCGGGTGGATTACCCCGGCTCACCCGGCGCTGGAGCAGACACTGCTACACATCAAAACAAATGGACTGAGTCCGGGTGTAACGACCAACACACCTCAACATAGTGATTTACACGTCGTAGAGCTAAACACAGCCTGAACTTGCAGTACAAAAAAAACAAGAGTGTAAGCACTGGCGAGGGTTTATGCGCACACTGATGCAGGCATGGTTATGTAAAATGCTTACCGCCTAGACCACCTCCGAGTCCGCCGCCAAGACCCGTTGTACCTCCGAGTGACAAGCCAGTAGTACCACCTGAGTAGAGCAGAGCAGAGCAGAGCACACACACACACACACACACACACACGCACACACACACGGGCATGTACTCAACTGTGAATCGACTTGTACACATGAAAATGAGAACGGCCTAGGCTGCAACTCTTCAGTTCTTCTGTGCCCGACAGTACTGTAGTGAATGGCACTCACAATTACTGCAGGTTAAAAAAAACCAACCAGGCACAATGCCCTAGCTATAAAATCTACAATTACGCTATACGTTATGCAATGCCACATACCGGTATAGAGATACAGTCAACTTTGCGTATAACGACACTCGGCGGGGCATCAGAAAAGTGTCCATATTCGGGAAGTGTCCTTATACCGGAAGTCCCATTATAATGTGTTACAGTTAGATGGGACTTTGCTCTGGGCATGGAAATTCTGTCGTTATTCGCGAATTGTCGTTATATCCGCAGTCGTTATTAGAGAAGTTGGCTGTAGGGAAGAAACGAGGATTGCTTTGCGTGACACTTTAGCTGCAGCTGAAATCTTGTTCTGCCTTCTACGTAGGAATAGCAAACCCTGCCCATTGGGCATTTGAGCAGTGCACGGTCAGTGGAACTGGCCTACTGCGTAGAAAAGAAGCAAGACGGATCGAGGCAATGGCATTACAGTGTTGCTCCGTGAAATCCAGTCACGTCATCCATGTAAGCGCCGGGCGTTGCGCAGCCCTAAACCTGCGAACACTGGACTGCGCAAACTAGAGTGACACGACTGGATTTTATAGAGGCAGTGACATTACACTCTGGCACAGAAACCACATCACGCCATGCACTTGAAGTCAAACAGTCAAGCTGCTAGCATACCGAGACCAGTGGCAGCAGTCGATGTTCCGAGAGTCAAGCCCGTCTTGTTAGCTGCAGATCAGAACACACGAACCAGCGCCAATACAGATCAATACATGTACAGTCAGACCTCGCTTATCGGGTCCTCTTTAATCCGGACCCATCGCCATCCAGAAGAAAATCGTCGGTGACCGATTTACAGCATATGTCATGCATACATAGTAGTGTGTTCGATTATCCAGTTCCCTCGCCTATCCGGATATTTTTTTGTTGAAAACGAATGTGCGGTTAAGCGAGGTCTGACTGTACTGCACACTGGAGGAAGACCAGTACAGGGGAACTCTGACAATACATACCCATGCATGGGGAGCAGGAAAGTGTACTTAGTATCCAACGTACTTACTATCCAACGTACTTACTATCCCAAATATGCTTCGGTGTGGATCCATACAGCCGTGCCCCCAGACAATAGCCGTACTGAGCATGAGAGTAGGCTGATTTGAACAGGACGCATAGCCCTCACACCGGAGTGTACAGGAATAAGTACCCCCGGCTTACACACGCGCCTTCACGAGTCGATGCTAATGTCGGACAGTCGGCCTTGGGCACAGAATATAATGTACCTAGGGTATTGGAGCGGATACGAACAGCGCTTTGGCCAAGAGGTTGTGAGCTTGCCCGCGGACCACAAGGTCCCGTGTCCGAGACCCGCGCTGGCAGCAGGGAGCGTGTACTGTGCTAACAAGTGCGGTGATGCATGCATGAACCACTTTACATGCAATGAACTGCGCCGACACCCACAATCAACTGGATACTCACTACACGGAGTGAGGGGGTGACATGGATGCAGCTAACGAGGTTCGCCCCCTTGTCGGGCATTGGTTGTGAGACTCACCACCCCACCTTTGCCGTTAGGGGCTGCATCTGCCACCCTGGTATCATCAGGCATGGCGGTGGCCTGGCATGAGCGAAACTTCCCCAAGCTGGCTGTGCTTCTCAACACAATTGTATAGCCGATGGTAACACGGATGTGCGAACTTTACTTTTATATGCACTCATTTATACGGCTCTTAGAAATAGTCAAGTTTGACTGCGCACTGTATTGCAACAACACAAGGCGTGCTGAGAGTTGCTATCACACATCGCTGACAATCTTCTCCTTCTGACTACAAACAGTAAGGTACAGTTGCGGACATTGAAATCCATTGAGAAGTCAAGCAGCCACGGGGCGCTGGCATTGCAGCCGCGAGCACGGCGGGTCCATTTTTTACATTGTGTACGTGAACTGCAGTGCATGTACGCGCTAAACGCAGTATTGAAGGGCGCCGGCCCCGGTCATCCGATTGGATTTCAATGTCCACAAACAGTACTTATCAAATGCAGCTGCTGCCACAGATGAAATAATTGCTATGCACCTTGGCAGCACGTATTAAAACACACACCATTGAAATCTCTCACCTCCCAGTCCAGTTGCTGTGGTGCCACCTAAAGTGAGGCCGGTGCCCGCTGTACTCGCTCCACCAAGACCGCCGCCAAGCTGCAGCCCGGTACCTGCATGCACACATGGACATACACACACACGGACACACATGCCCGCATACACACATACACACACACACACACACACGCGCGCGCACGCACACAAATAAACTAAAATTAGTTCGTGCAAAGTATGCCTCCCAAAATGACATAGCCATGTTCAAACTAACAACATTGTGCCCAACTGTACAAGATACAAGCTCGTCAGTCACATTAGAAAGATGACATGCACTACGAAATGAAAATGAGGAAGCCTAACTTCGAATCTCAGTGCCCGAGAAGACCATGCCACAGACACATTTCAGCACCTGCTGGCCTTGCAATCGGTTGCACTTGGGCGCATGGGATGGCTTCCCTTGACGGTGCGCCAGGTGCAGCAACTGTGATTGGCTTGGCCGGCTCTGTTGACTGCAAATGACTGCAGCTTGCCGCGCTAGCATCGGGCGAACCTGCTCGGCCATTCTGGCCAACCGCAGCCACAGCGGGACTGCCGTTGGCATCACGGTCTGGGCATTTCGCGCTAGCATCGGGCAAGCCTGCTCGACTACCGTTGGTATCACGGGCTTGGTGTTTTGCGCTGGCATCGGGCAAGCCTGCTTGACTACCGTTGGTATCACGGGCTTGGTGTTTTGCGCTGGCATCGGGCAAGCCTGCTCGGCTACCGTTGGTGTCATGGGCTTGGTGTTTTGCGCTGGCATCGGGCAAGCCTGCTCGGTGGGAAAGCATACGATTCTTCGTATGAGCAGTCATATCGACAGGGTGTGAGTACCTGGGAGTGCCAAACAGCACAATAGTGCCATGGGCACCACCATCTACAGGGACAGGCACCCCATTGACCGTGCGACTTGGTAAGCCTGTGGGAGTGCCAATACTGCCACTGGCATTACCATCTGCTCGGAAATCGTGGGCACAATTGAGTTTTTTGGACCATCGCTGCCACATTGCTAGGTGGGCATCGCTGCGATCGACAGCTTCTAGGACAGGATTAGTCATGACGGGAACACCGCCATTGGGATCGGCAGCTTCGGGGATCGGCTTAGCCTGGATGGAAACACCATCACTGAGACTGGCAGCTTCAGGGATCGGCTTACCCGGGATGGGAGCACCATCACGGAGACTGGCAGCTTCGGGGATCGGCTTAGCCTGGATGGGAGCACCGTCACTGAGACTGGCAGCTTCAGGGACAGGCTTACCCTGGATGGAAACACCATCACTGAGACTGGCAGCTTCGGGGATCGGCTTAACATCGGGTACATCTGTTCTCTTGGCGGCTGATATGTCATGTAGAAGCTGTACATAAGACTCAGCTTTCCGTTTAGGCATCTGGACTGAAAAGCCCCAGGGAGGAGGCACACCTCAGACTGTTAAACTAGGGACCAGTCTACAGTACATGTACCGCTATACTACACAAATATACTACCAGCACGAACGTTTCCACAGACAAAGCCGCCTTCACAACAGCTCCACCAAACGCACGCTTTCAATAACTGGGGAAAAACTACCATGTCACATTCTACCGCACAGCATTATAATACCAAATCCACAGCGGGACGTGAAGAGCTACACCCGTACCATTCAGCGCGACAAAACTGCCAATGCAGCAGCAGGGAGCGTGACAGGTCAGGCCTTATCATTAGCTCGCTATGCACCGCATCCACGGCACAACACGTAGTGCATGCAACAGCAGTCACATCACACTTGTAGAACGCACACCGACATCACGGCGCAGAGACAAGACCGACGCAACCTGTCGTCGAAAAGCACTCCCGCGTAGATATCGCGCCGAACTGCGCCCCGAACTATTCACGCCGACTTCTCGCCACCAATCAAACCCACTGATATACAATGAAAGGACTTGGTTGCATCATTGCTGTGTGAGTAGTGTACTACAAGCTCTGTCCACTGGAACTAGAGCACTATACACAGCCTGAGGACCTTATATACAATGTATATCTAGAGACAACGGCCAGCAATTGGGGAGAGGTAATTCACACCAGCAGGTGTAGCGTCAGCACCTCTGAGGCTATGACACAGCAGTGCAATGGACAAGGAGGTCACAGCACAACGAGCTGAGAACCGGTGGCACATTGTCCCTCCAGTTAGTGTCGCACCAGCAACATCTAGCAGTGATGCTCCACACTTCCAAAGGCACATCGGCAAGGAGGCATGCATACATGCAATTCCATCTGCTTTGATCTCACAAACTGCATAACACTATGCATGTCACTGAGTGGGTGGTGCGTACCCATGCCTACAGCTGTGGGACCCTATTCACAACTACCCCCCCCCCCCCCCCCCCCCCCCCTAGGCCCATACAAAAAAGACATGTTATCAGCACCAGCCTCTGGACGCCTTGGGAAAAGAGGCACAGCACAACAAAGCTCACAGAGAAAATTATGTGAGTGTATGATGTGAAATGGAAGTGTTAGTTCGTTGTGGCTGTGCTGTCGGTGGTGGTGGCGACGATGCTGCTGCTATTGCACTTGTACAATGAAATTTGTCACGATGGCCTCAGCCCTGACAGCGAAATAAGGGTTCGTGTTGGCGTCTACACATATGGAACACGAACCACGCAGGCTGCCCAATTCGAGGTCCCCACTCCTGGTGACACCTACCTGTGCCTGCCGCAGTCCCCGTTGCTCCCAGGGTAAGCCCAGTCTTGGCCCCTACACAGATCACAAGCACGATAAAGGTGCAACTCAAGTAATTGTACAAACTATTTCGAAGCACACTCACACCTCGTTTATCCGGGCGGTCCGGGACCAGGCACTGCCCGTAACTTTGAAATGTCCGTTACTCCAAATCACATACATTTTGATGTGGAAAGGCCATAGATAGGCATAGGACTAGGGAGTTCAATCACGTGACCGGGCACATACATTGGGTCTCTACACGCGGATGTACGCATGACGTGGCCGGGTGGGCAGCGTCGCGTTTTTTTGAATGTTTTGCTGAAAGCTCAAATTTTTGAGCAAGAAGACAGCCATTTCCTGGTTCGTGAAGACAGTAGCTTTTGTTTGGTGTGTCGCTTGCCGTCATAGAACCGTTTTCAGACGTCCAAAGTTCTGGAGGAACTTTTCGATCGTGTTTTTCAGTACTTTCTTCTGGTTGCTCGCCGAGGAAACGCTCATATTCGTGTAGAGCACCCTCGAATTTAGTAAGATCGAGTCGTCCTGCAACTTCAGGAAGTAGCAAAAGTCTGCAAAATTACCTGAACGATGGCAAGTCATACAGAAAAGGAGACAGGTGACAGCACCAAGGACGTCGTTGGAGATATGTGTAAAGTGCTGGGTTTGACTCGGACGTCGCTGCTAAATTCAGTGGAAAACAACGATGCATTTACGTCGCTGAAGCGTAGTGCTGAGAGCTTGTCCAATGGTCTTGTGTTGGAGCTTTTCCGATTAAAAGAAACGGAGAAACTGACGTTCAAGGCTTTTACAACATGGCTGGAAGGAATATCTGGGAGAGAACGTTCAACTTTAAATTCGAAGGCAGTGTCTGGCAAAGTGAACAGACTGAAAGACAGACGTACTTACCTCCTGAAAGCCGACAAAGAGCAGTGGCATTTGCTTTCTGAGCAGGTATTTGAGCTTCCAGCTGGAGAGGCAGCAGGCTCTGGGTCCAGAGCTGGATCAAGCAGTGAAGCTGAGAGCAAATCCGCCGTTTCCAGTTCTGACCAGGCCACTGTAGAGATGATGGCTGCTGAACTTGTGTCCATGGAAGGAGAACTTGCTACTGTGAACAAAAGGAAAGATGCTCTGGAGGAGACTGTAAAGAGGCAGCGGGATAAGATCAGGAATGCGACAAAGAAGATGAAGCGCCGAGACAGTGCCCTTGCGGAGGCCCAGGATAACGAGGAGAACACGGAGGTTTCGGATCTGAAGCGCAAGCTTACAAATGAGCAGCACCGTGTTTATTACTACCAAAAGCAGCTGTCAGTCAAGGACGAGAGTATGAGGGAGCTTGAATGTAGCCTGGCGGAAGTTCGCCGATTGCTCTCTGCGGCTCAGAGCGAGATTTCTTCTCTTGAGGCTGGCCTGATGGATGCGCATGAAGAAACGGAAGACGGTGACACAGATGTGCAGACGATGGACGGTGGGAAATATCGAGATGCTGTGAGGGAGTGCTGTCTAGGCTTACTGGCGATGAATGTGGGAGTAAGGCATGTCGGTCCAGTTATCCGAACCGTACTGAAAATGGTTGGTAAATCAGCTGATCCCCTTCCAAGTGCCGGGCTGCTCTCCAAAATGCTTGTAGAGCTCAAGCAAATCAGTTCAATGCAAGTTGGCGAGTCCCTGATGGAAGCATCTAGCACCACCCTCCACAGCGATGGCACAAGTAAGGGTGGCTTCAAGTTCGGCAGCTACCAAGTGGCGCGAACTGCCACAGAAGTGCTGACTCTGGGAATTGTGGACATGAAGTGTGGTAGTGCAGATCATGTGTTGGACAAGCTGAAGCAAGTACTGGGAGATGTCGCGAGTGCTTGCAGTGGCGACGGCAAAGAACAAATTGCGGAGAAGATCTTGAAAGGCATCACCAATACCATGAGTGACCGCTGCATAGTGCAGAAGAAATTCAACGAACTGCTGCAGGAATACCGTGCTGACGTATTGCCAAGTGTTGTTGGTGGATGGGAGGATTTGACATCGGAGCAGCAGAGCAAGTTAACAACAATGAACAACTATTTCTGCGGACTCCACTATATAGTCGGATTAGCAGACCAAGCCCAAGAGTGCCTGAAAAAGTGGGAAGAGGTCCATTTCGAAGGCAAAGCATTTGGGGCCACAGAGCTGCCACGGGTGTTTGACACGACCGAGTCCAGAGTGATCCGCATGCTTCGCACCACTGCCAATGCCTTTGAAAAGCATGGCAACGAACAGGCCGGCTGCATGGCTGACTTCAATGTCTACATGGAGGAGACTGGCATTCCTGTCCCACTTGCCGAGCTACGTGGTAACCGCAGCTATGTTTGCTTTTACAACGGCGCCGGTGTCTACTATTTGCGAGAGACCCTTCTCCACTTCCTCCGCGATATCCATGGCGATACCAATCTGTTGTTGAAAGCTGTCAAGGCCGATCTGTCCGTAGACGAGCTCTGTGCAGGTGCCAGAGCACTTGGTTTACTGTCGAAGCTTGTGATCACCCCCCTATGGAAAGCTCTCGAGGATGCAACATTATCCATTTTCGACATGTCGACACGGTATACAGAGCTGTACAGAAAATTTGTCGAGTGGTCGGAAGATGCCTCGCCGCTGCTTGATGGTACAGCTCGCCCATTTGCCGGTGCCACTCCCAACCTGCTTGATGTCGTCACGACCCGATTGCTTGAGCCAGATGAGAGCGATGCCGTCACCCAGGAAATCCTGCAGGTACTGTGTGCGGCATATGCGGCGTACTCTGCACGGCTTCTCGCAGATCACTTGCCAGGCGGGAAATTCCATGACCCATCCGATGATGTCAGGCAGCAGGGTCAATCAGTGGCAAGTACGAATGCTGTGTCTGAGAGAGATTTCGCTCAGCTTGACCGTATGATCAGGGAAAAGCCATGTGCTCGCACTGTCGCCCTGGAGGGCATGATTATGTTTACGAACAACAAAACAGCAGTTTGGCTGTCAGCAAAAAGTGAAGAGGACCGAGCTGCTATCCTTGCCTCAGCTCGCCAGTCGGCTCCAGCTGTTCAGGACCTGTACAAGAAACGCCGCCAAGAGATCAGAGACCACCGAATGAAAGTCTTGAAAGACAAGGAGGAGGAGATAGCCAAGAAGAGGGCGAGAGACACCCGCCGGAAAGAAGACCTTACCCGAGATGTCCACAAGTACGGCGGTCTTTGGGGTTCTGCTACTGAGGTAGATGCTGGTGTGGCAGCCCTCCGCACTGTTGCTGAAAAACGAAGTGCGCTGAGGGCACAGCTTCTGTTCCGTAAAACTTTGCTGCACCATGATGCACCAGCTGCCACATTCTCCCTCTCGAAGGATGGGCGGCAGCACCCTGTGGAGAAGCTGGTGGACAACCTGAAGTCCCTGCTACCTGCCATAGTTCTAGCATCTGGCATCACAGATTCGGCGACCGCAGATCCCACCGCCGCAACTGGGTCGGTAAGGTCTGTACTGGCACCCAGCACTACTGATCCTGACCAGGACCTTGGGGATTTGGAGCCAGCTCCAAAGCGCGCACCAAGTGTGGCACCATAAACATGTGACTTACTCCAGTTACATGGTCGTCTATAACATGGCCGTCGTCACCAGACATGGTGTCGCAAATCTAACACTGCTGTAAAACAAAAAACTCTTCAATGCCACTCAAGTTTTGTTGTTTCATCTTCTCTAATCCACTGCTTCTTCATTAACAATATGCTTGGTGTTCAGAATTACCTTTCCTGCAATGATATATTCCTGATTTTCCTAATATCCATATCCGATGTATGCGGTCAGAGCGGTTGCCATGGTGGTTGCTATGGACAGAATTTGAAAGTCTGTAACTGAATTTGAAAATTAATTCTCATTTGGTATCCTACAGACTGTGTTTACTCCTTGGGTGGAGTTTCAAGACAATCTGGTGAAGTTCATCGGTTGCTATGTGTAGCTAGGGCTGGTCCGAAGATGCCTTTGGTGCCATCCATGTATGCAATTTCATGATGAATTTGCCGCGACTTCAAATCACCATAACTCTGTTGTTTTTCAAGATATCCACTCCAAATTTCGGCTGCTACTTGGTTTTACCCCATAGATTTCGAAAATCCACTTAGAAATGGCCAGCTGTAAACATAAAAAAATCATGTGAACTCCCTAATAGGACATCATTATTTCCACAAAAGTGACAAAAGAGTAATAATATTTCCACTGAAACTCGCCCAAAGGGTGCCCGTAACTTCCGGGTCCGGATAACCGAGGTATGAGTGTGCCTTCCTTATAGAATAATCAGGTTCGGGCAACTATGGAAGTAAGTTTTTGTGAAAAATGGTTGCAGCCATTGTGATAGTCATTGGTGTGTGAGTGAGTGAGGAAGTGTGTATATGTGTGTGTGTGTGTGTGGGAGGGGAGGGGGAGGGGGAGGGGGAGGGGGGGGGAGGGGAATTACCTGCTCCTCCTAAGGTAAGGCCAAGACCAGTACCGCCACCTACACAAGCAGAAACAAGCCCGCACACATACACATACACATGCAGAGGTCAACGGGGCACCAGGGAATGTGTCTAATAATAGTATAGGAATGAGCTTCAATGGGGAATACTGAGGTTATGTCCATTATTCTTGCTTATGAACTCAAGTTCTATAGGCCGTCGAAGTATGACGTCACTGCTTCTTGACAGCGCGTAGTTATTTGGCCAAGTGGTGACAAACAAAAGTCGCGTCACCTGTACTTGTCGTGTTTCCAGTGGCAGTAGCATGCAGTGAACACAGCTACAGCATCATTTTGACTGAGGAGAGCGCGGGCGAGATTATTTATTTCAAATAAACTGCTACTTGTCGCCGAGTTTGTAGTCTTCGCTTTGTAGAGAAGGAGAAGTCGTAGCTGATTTCTTGCTTAGCCACTGCTGTGCTTGTACTGTCGTTCGGCTCGACATGTAGCCACCGGCCAAGAAGCAATGATGGGTGTCTCTGTTATTTCTATCGCAGCGATCGCTGGCTTCTTTTTGGTTCTGAGACAAACCAACTCTGGGCTCGTTTCCTTGTCCAGAGGCAAGCAAAAATCAGAACTCCCATCTCTCAGGTGCTGGTGAACACTCAGCAGGAAAACACTGCACGATGGCTTGAGAGAGAAAGAGAAACTTCTTGAAGTAAAACAAAATTTGAACTCGCGATCTTGCACGAGCGCCGCCCAGTCATCAAAGTGATGCCATGACCGTTGGAAACACGACAAGCGCAGGCGACGCGACTTTTGTTTGTCACCATGTGCCCTTGTAACTGCGTGTAACTGCGAGTTTTCAGGCAGCGTGAGAATTGGAATAGCGCTGGATTTACACAAGAATTATCAAGCCGGGTGGAATTCAACTCATGTTGAAAGTCTGAAGAGGTTGAAAAATGTGGGTGTTTCCACAGTAAACTCAGATAAGATGAACTTTGGAAAAGGCAAAGTATTTACGCAGTCATGAGGACCAGTAGCAATGTCCATGCCGGTATATATTTTGAAATGGCTGCGATGAACTTTGCCAAGGCGAGCTCTCAGACGAGGCCGGAACTTTGCTAAGACGAACATGTGGGCAGTGACATTTTGGAACTTCAACATACACACATGTGCGTGCGCATGCACACACATGCACGCGCACACACAGTGACACACACACAGTTCTTCTCTCTCTCTCTCTCTCTCTCTCTCTCTCTCTCTCTCTCTCTCTCTCTCTCTCTCTCTCTCTCTCTCTCTCTCTCTCTCTTCTCTCTCGGCAAGAGTACTGACTAAACAAGGACAGGATAAGCTACGTTGGACTGTGTGACATTTGTCACATACTAATTTGCAATGTGTATACTGCGTATGTGTGTACATGTGTGTGTGTGCATATGTACACACACATGCGCATGCATGCGCATGCACGCAAACACCACACACACACACACACACACACACACACACACACACACACACACACACACACACACACACACACACACACACACACACGAGTTCATGGTGTTGTGTATGCGTGTACGCATGCACATGTGTTTTGTTTGTGACTTTGTATGAGACTGAGACTGAGAGAGAGAGAGAGAGAGAGTGAGTGAGGTATTGAATTGTCCACTACGCAATCTTGTAGGAGCGTATGCTCTATACTTTATAGTATGAGTAGTTGTTGTCAAGAAATTACACTCACCTAGTGCTGTGGATGCGGTGGAAGAAGCTGCTCCAAGTGATAAAGCACCGCCACCCAGGCCCAGTCCACCCGCGACTCCAGTAGTAGCAGCACTTGCACCACCAAGGGTCAAGCCTGCTGGTTTTGCTCCTCCGAGTGAGAGTCCACCACCAGCTGCAGTGGACGTCGCATTGCTGCCTAATGTCAGTCCAGGTTTGCCCAGGCTCAGTCCGCCACCAATACCTGCGCCGGCCGCACCACCACCGAGCGCCGGTGTTTTGAACATCCTGAATATGAGGTTTCCAGCAACGGGCAAGCTGCCTCTCCCTTCTTTCTCAATCCAAGCCAAGCAAGATCAACTGGTTTCATCCAGTATAATTTTGAACACTTCGCATATTTTGTCATTTGAAAAGATAAGAGCAAACATGTTTTTTCGAAGATTTGTTTTGGGTGCGAAAAAAGCCGCCATTTGCGCTGTTGTCAAGGTGATTGCCAGCCTTGCACTTTTTTTACGTGCAGATCTACGTTTGACCGGTTTTACTTGCAGCTAGCTAGCTAGCTACAATAGCTAGCTGCTAGCATGCTGCATGCTGGTGCCAGATTTTGTGATAGCGTTTTCTGTTCGTCACGACGTCAGTTTCTCGTTGCATATTCCATGCGCGCGATACATTGTGCTTTTTTTCTTCGTTTTTTTTTGGTTTTGTTTGAAGTGGCTCACGAACTCAGGAAAGAAAACTGACGCGAAAGCGAAGTTTGTGAGAAATGGCGGCGGAGCCTGATGACGAGGACTCCTGGCTTTATGGAGATGGTAAGAATCATAATTATAGTGGTAGTGACCATGAGGCAGTAGGAGATTCGAGGTGTGTTCGGCCATCTATCTGTTCGTAGATTCCGTGAAAGCTGAGCAGAAGGATGCGGCTGAATCTGCCAGGTATGTCGCTAAAAAATTTGATTTGAAATTGAAAATTATCATTCAACAAGGCCTCACAGAAAGTAGTTTACACAATTGGTTGCCGTGAGGTCGCATGTGCCAACCGTGATTGCGGGTAAATTGATGGCGTGGTTTGTTCGCAAAATTGCGTTTGCTGTGCGGCGCGACCAGAATGTTGTCTTTTGATTTTGATGTTCATTTGAATTATTCACAGACTCCAACACAGTGCACTCACTGCATCGTAATACAGATAGGTAGCTTTCAGCTATGATGTTAGCAGTTGCTGACAGGACAGATTTCTTAGATCCTTGCTGCTCAAGGACGTGGTATTCAAATTATTCAGTCAAATGTTCCTGACGTTTTCCGATCTCATGTTACATTAAATTTTGAAACCCCCAATTTATTTGAAAAATTTAAATGGTCTCGTGCTGTCTCGTTAGAGGGCTTAGGAGTGGCGAGAAATTAGTGCTTCTAGCTTTGACGAGATGGTGACGAAAGACGAAGGACCACGGCACGTTCTTAGTTTGCTGTGATGTTCAGCTTGTTTTCGTCTTGAGTGCGCTCACCTTCCCCTTTCTCATGCCATTTCATAATGTAGAGCCTTCCAAGCTGGAAGGCTGTTGGTTTGCGCATCCAAGACGTAATAGAGCTTATCATCAGGTGGTTGAATGTCAGTATCACATCAGTCAGTATTGTGTTAGCTGTTGCACCTTCTGACTACACAACATAGTGTAGGACACAAACTACGGATAACATTTAACATCTTGATCCTTTCTTTTAAGTATTCATAATACGCACAGCTCGCATCTTCCCTGAACCTGTTAGACAGGAGCAGGGTCGACGCATCTGTCAACAGTGTCAAGCCAAGTTAGTCTATCTCCTGCAGCCTGGCGAGCGCTCTCCACGGAGAGGTCCGCTGCCTTCAGGTCGTGCCGAATCGTATCTATCCACCGCAATGGTGGTCGGCCTCGTGGTTTTTTTTGGGTTTTTTTTCGTGTTCGTGATACATGGCACCATTCTTGTCATGCGAGAGTGCCATTTTTACCGGTTTACAACTTAGCGTGGAACTTCACACGTACAACTGTGTACTCGCCTCGCCTGACACTTTTGCTACTCTTCTTTATTGCTTTTGCAGCACCCCTTCCTACCTGCCGATACTAACTCCCCGTGGCAGCTAATTTCGCACATCACCTTCAACCCTCTACTGACACGCTGTCACATTCTTGTCTTCACCGTCTGTACTAACTGCTGCAGGCGCTTCTTGCCTAAAAGGCCTGATGGAAGTCTGTAGCTCTTTTTCCTTGGTCACTTCGTTCAACTAGTATTGTCCTGGCTTTGGTCGAACGTTTGCGAAATTTGACGTGTGTTTTCACCAAGGAGACATGCGCAATGTGCAAATGGCCCTGTTGGAGGTTGTGCGCGAATTTGAGGTGTGTTTTCACCAATGACGCAGGCGTAATGTGCAAATGGAATTTTTGGAGTTTGTGCACGCTAGAGAACGGTACGACTGACATTGCATGTATTTGCTTTTCTTCATTCCCCTTTTTATTTTTAACAAATGTACTGTTGTTGGCTTGCTTTGTGCAGCGGTCCTGCTCGAGTTGTGCGGAATGACTCTGAGAAGCCGGAGCTGGACGATATTCCAGAGGTTAGGCCTTTTTCATCACCTGTTTGCATCGTCATTTTGCCGAAACAGCTTGCATCATTCTTGAGCACTACATGTTTGTACAGAGAGACGGAGCCTCATCAGTGAAAGCGGTGCAGTAGTGTCGGTCGGCGAAGAACTGGGGGGGGGGGGGGGGGGTCAGCCTCCTAGCCTAGACCTTTCTTATTTCCGTGTATTACACTCTGTGCACGGTCGAGCCACCGTGTGTACATTGGTGTGCTGTGCGTGGTGAACTTCTAGGCTGGTCGTTCTTCGGCGGCCGGCACTACTGTACTGTTACATTCCTATGCATTTCTGTTGCGTATGGCAAACCAGTACTGCATACGTAAATAGTAAATACGTGTCTGAAATTTGAAATGTGTACGAAATAATCTGGGTGCCAGTGCATTGGACCTACGGTGTATAGTTGCGCTCGGTGAAATCCAACCGGACGTGCAAAACTGGCGCCGTAGACCAGTTCCGATGACATCACTGCATCTGTAAATGTGCACGTCCAGTCGTATGTACACCGCGCCTAATATTTAATTATGTTGTGAGTTACGGGGCAGTGCTTGGTCCCAAAGTGATTAGGGGAGTTTTACTGTACTTAGCGTTCTGTGATCTGATGTTTATGTTTCATGGGTGTTTACCCTAGTGTTTACCTGATGCGGTATGGTCTCTTTCCTAGGATGTGCCGGAGGAGCATCCAATGGCGGTCGCCGAAAATGGCAATGGGGCGAATGAGGAAGAGGAAGAATCAGAAATTGAATCGGACGACTCTGATGACGATATCAAGGTGAGTTCAGTTTCTTATCAGATCATAGCGCGCACACACTGCCAGAGCGCACCGCCTTGATTTATAGCTGGGAAAAGGAAGGCCGTGTGGCCGAATGCACCTCCAAGGTCTAATGTGAGTGTACTAGGTCTAGGTCTTACACCAGCCTCACTATCCTGGTGTGAAGCTAGTCGCCCACTCAAAGGTGAAATGAGCACGCATTGGCTGCTGTGCACCATGCGATGTATCTGCAATGTACATGTCGTACGACCTGCAGTCACTACTCATTCGTCTCCCCCCCCCCCCCCCCTTCCACACGCACACACTTCTAAGCCACGACAGTAAAAGGGTCCAGGTGGTGGGTCGCGCTCGTCGTACTTCACGGTGCATATGCGTAGATCTATGTCGTAGACAGTATCTGGTATAGGTTATTAGCTTATTGTCGTTTTTCAATCTGTCTTCGTCGTCTTCTATAAATATTCTCTGCTCATGCTCACACACGTACCAACATGTGTGTGTGTGTGTGTGTGTGTGTGTGTGTGTGTGCGCGCGTGCGCGCATGTTGTTTGGTGTGTTTGTTCGTGCTCGCATTTGTGTGCGCATGCACGTTACCATCACAGGTGACTATACGCGACATCCAGGCAACCAATTACATGGCACCAGCAGCAGCGTCTCTCCAGCGAGCTGCGCGCACTAGCGTGCAAAGCGTCACTGCACCCGTGACGGTTGTGCCCACTCCTGCGCCACAGCCTGCTAAGGTATGAGGATGGGAGAGATGCACTCGTCTCTAGTATACGTGTGTGTACGTGCATGTGTCTGTGTGTATGTGTACATGTGTGTGTGGGGGGGGGGGGGGGGGTGCAAGGTATGAGGATGGGAGAGATGCACTCGTCTCTAGCATGCTGCATATTCCATTGCGTGCTGTGCCTTTTTGCATGTACTCTCGTGCTGTTGCATACTACACGGCTTACAGGCTATCCAAGGCACATGTCAAGCGTCTGTTGATGAATACATTGCATATCTTGAAGGGCAGACTTGACCTGGTGACAGCCATTTGGAGTTAATTTGGCAGCTCCCTGCTGAAGTTCCATGAACAAGCTATTGCTGCTGGACCTGGGCTATTGCAGTATCTAGTTGTAGTGGGTTTTCCAGGGTTTCGCGTGGAGATTGGTATCTAATCTGCCGTACTGTTAGTGATTATGGTGATGGTGATGTGTCTGTACCTGTGAGCTCACTGGGTGTTCACTTTGTGCTCAATGTGTGCTCACTGGGTACTCACTGGGTGCTTACTGTGTGCTCGCTGTGTGCTTGCTGGGTGCTCATTGTGTGCTCACTGTGTGCTCACTGTTTGCTTACTGGGTGCTCGCTATGTGCTTATTGGGTGCTCACTGTGTGCTCACTGTGCGCTTACTGTGTGCTCAATGTGTACACACTGTGTGCTCAACGTGTGCTCGCTGGGTGTTCAGGGTCTGGACGTGGATGCCGTGGGCAAGATCAATGGCGTGTCCACGTACGAATTTGACCTGGACTCGGTTGATGACAAGCCCTGGAGGAAACCCGGTTAGTGGCAGCGTTTACAGTGACTCGAGTGTTGCAGTAGCTAGCTACCGTAAAAGTCCGTGAATAAGTACGTATTTACTTTCAAATTTAGTGACCACACCCGTACTAACTTTCGGGCGGGTACTGACTTTCGGGCACGAACTAACTTTCGGACCTGACTTGTGTGTAGTGGAGAAGTCATTTTCATGTCGATGCACATGCTACGTGCTGCATGTGCGCATCGTACCGGTACTTATTTCGGGCAGTATGTTTATCGGGCTTGACTTGACTTCAACAGACAGAGCCAAAAGAATAAAGGGGGTATTTCTTTCGGGCAGGTACTTATTTACGGTATGCATTCCCACCAGTTCTGTCTGTTGGTAACCAGGTGTGCAGAGTGGCTAGGAATCTGCCTTGAAGTCGGCTACACACCATCACTCTCTGCTCAATCCTGGCTAGTTTATACATGATAGTTCAAGCTGCAATGTGTGACTGGCGAATGCCCCAATCCATCTATATTGACTGCTGCCATTGGACGGTGAATAAATAAATGAACTAGAAGGAGATTTATAATAGAAGTAAAACACATGGGAACAAGTTATGAAGCAACCATCCACGGCCGTAACAAGATAATAAGCAGTCAGAAAGTGCGATAACATGGCACAAAACTGACAGGCTGCTGAGACATTCAACGGCCTGAGACCTAGCTGTAACACATCTCCAGTGCGCAACCCAACAGCCTTCCAACTTGGAAGGTTCAAGGACCGAAGAGGGGAAGGTGAACGCAGCAAAACTGCACAAGCTAAGTGCCACGGCAACAAGGAATGCACATTTTTCACTGCGCTCACCTTCCCCTCTTCTGTCCTACCTAACCGTGAACCTTCCAAGGTGGAAGGCTGTTGGTGGTTAGTTACTTCGTAACTCGTTCCCATGTGTTTTACTTCCATTTTGCATTTCTTACTGGCTCAGTATCCGAGTTAAACTAGAAGGAGAGTTTGCTGCTGTGTGCTCACTGTGTGGTTGCTGTCTCTGCGTTGCCTTGTTGTGATACCAGGTGCCGACATCACTGACTACTTCAACTATGGATTCACTGAGGACACGTGGAAGCAGTACTGCGAGAAGCAGAGACGCCTGCGCATCGACAACGTTCCCACTCAGCTGCCGAAGAAGGGCTACGAAGTGCGAGTGAGTGACCGTGATTTGTACTGCACTACAAAGTAATACAAAGTAATAGTATTTGGTGAGATGTGTTATTGTGAGTGAGTTACAGCCGTCGCTAGTGCCAGTAGTGGCTTCACCCTGGCACATTAGAGAGGTTCCGCATAACGTAATTACGTTAGTAAAAAACGTAGTCGATCTACGGAAAGTCTTACGTAAAAAACTGCATGCGCATCTAGGTTCCGCCATACGGAGTTTTCAAATCACGTAGCTGCCCTTGGCAACTCCGAACGCGGCAGTGTACGACCAGATCGACCTGGCCCAGCTGGGGAGAGAGTCATCAATTTGTACCCCAATCCACTTACGGACCAGCTACGTTATCAGAGCCCTATCTACGTACTCTCCGTAGACAACTTTCCGTAAGTGGAGTGCAAACTCGCGAATTCACGGGTTTTTCCCGCCCACTAACGTAAAGTTGCTCAACTTTACGTAGTGCAGAACCTCTCTATTATAGCTACGATCCGTTGTGTGTTGTGAGGCCCCTGCCTTGCGTTGGTGCTCCTCTCTAGATACGATAGTCGTCACCAATTGAGCAAAGTCGGTTTAGGTTCAGATCCCCCTACCGACCCTGTTACTAGTGGTTAGTAGTGGATGAAGTAACCCGAAACAACAAACTAATTCTGGGCTGCCTAAAGAGAAAGATTCCATAGAGACAGGATTCTTCCACAAGATTACATTGTCACCATGCCGTCAGCTGTTGGGAGGGTCGATATTCAATCGAGTCGTCTTTTTCTAGATTCCTTCTGAATCTCTCTCTCTCCCCTCTTATCTCCTGGGAGGGTTCGCGTGACCAGTTTCTAGCAGTGGGAGAATGCCAGTGTGTGACCTTTCTGTGTGTGTGTGTGTGTTTTTCCGCCTGCCTGCACTTGCACGGCAGGAAATGAAATCCGTTGGCCATACAGGCGGCAGCAGCAATCGGACAGACAAGGGGTATCATCATCATCATCATCATCCCCACCATCACCATCACCGTGCTGATGCACATGATGAGAATGACGGTCGTCATACACCGGAGGAAATCAGGTACACTGGATCCTCTGTGTGTGTGTGTGTGTGTGTGTGTGTGTGTGTGTGTGTGTGTGTGTGTGTGTGTGTGTGTGTGTGTGTGTGTGTGTGCGTGTGCGTGTGAGAGTTTTGGGGATTTCAGGGGGTGTCGGTCGTTGGGCGGTTCAATAGCCAGTTGAGTCATCTTTCCAAGATTCCTTTTGAGTCTCTCTCCCCTCTCCCGGGGAGACGCACGTGACCAGTTTTGGCAGTGAGCAACAAGTACAAGTGTGCGTGTGTCTGTGTCTGTGCGTACGTGCGTGCTGATTGCAGTGGTGTGCATGCAAAAGTGATCTCTTCTTGGGTGTGGTGGTGGTGTTTCTACACAGGCTCCAATGTACAGTGTCTGTACATTTGTGTGCGAGTGCATGTGTGTATGTGTGCATGCTCATGCGTGTGTGTGTGTGTGTGTGTGTGTGTGTGCTTGCGTGCGTGCGTGCTCATGCTGGTTTTTGTCGTGATGATTCCAGCCTTGATTGTCCTGTTGATCAGCTGTAGTTTTGTTTTACGATCTGGCTGCGCTAGGAGTGTTTCTTAGACTTTCCCTGGTGTACTGAACTGAGAATGAACTATCATCTAGATGGTAGTGGCCCGATGTTTAGCTAGTGTCCGGTGCAACGGCCATACAGCCAATGCCTGCTGTCTTGTTTGCTTTCCACGCTTCACTGGGAATGTGGTCATGGGGGGGGGGGGGGGGGGGGGGAGAGAGAGAGAAAGAGAGAGAGAGAGAGAGGGTATCGACGTGCACACGTTGAGCTTGTTTATGATCACGTCTTGACCCTTGATTGTATGTCTTCCTCCTGTGTTGCCCACAGAGACGCTGTGCTGCCACCAGGTGAGCAAAAGTTTGAATGTTGCATTTACGCATTCAGTGACTGCTCCCATCCATTGTCTGCTTCACACTTGGAAATGGCTCACGGCACATCCAATGATTTCTCCCATCTATTGTCTTCGTTGCACTTGGCAGTGGCTCAAGCTGCTCCGCTTCTTAGTAGCTTGGAAGCTGCAATTAGAACCCATGGAGTGTACTGTGCAGCAGTTAGGTGTTTAGTGTTTAGTGTGCCACCCTGTGAACACCATATGAATAGGAGTTCGTATGTGTGACCTGTCATTGCTGCTGTGTCCGGTGTGCGCCTGCCATGTCACTGTCATCATCACTTAGGCAATGGTGTAGCGCTAACGGCGCGTGCACTGCTAGTGTGGAAGGCAACCACTCTCCCTCTCTTTCGTCCTCACCCCGTACCGGGTTAAATGCCACAACGGACATGGCATGTATCTTAACGGTGCCTGCATTTTGTCCCAGGTGACACCTTCCCATTTCCCATTTGGTTATGTTTACCAGCTTTCTAAACCGGCGACAAACCGTGGGATCATCTTACTTGTAGGAACAGGACTAAAACACACTTGTTTCACTGTTCCATTCTCTGCACTTTTAGTATTTTTATTACCGGGGTCAACCATAACCCGATGGTTACACACCGTGTTTTGTGCGGGTGTTGCGTCCTCATGAATCCACGAGTTATTTGTCTGGTTCTATTCAGTGGCCGAAGTTGCTGAGCGTTACGGTATCAAACTGCCTGAGTCCATCGCCCCACCGCCACCGCCTACATCGCGCCCGAGCGCCCCTCCAAGTTAGTCACTGCCACCGGTCATTGAGCATTGCGCGTGCCATTGTGCTGTCTGTTTGCTGCTGTCACCGTGCTACCGCTTCTATTCATCCACCGCATTGTGTGTCATTAGTCTCTCATTTCATTTTGCCATGATTGCCAGAGTGTGCTCGTACGTGTGTGGGGTAGTTCAGGCGGTTACTAGTAATCCAACCAGCTTGCTGTGTGGTGTGTGTGTGTGTGTGTGTGTGTGTGTGTGTGTGTGTGTGTGTGTGTGTGTGAAGTAGGGATTCACTGGCCAGAAAAAAGCCACTTCAAAGCTGTGTGGTGTAGACCAGGCTGAATAGTGGTGGTCAATTCTTCAGCCTTGCAAGCTGTTGAATGGTGCAATCCCAGCACAAGTTGCTATGGCTTCTGCTGTAGCATCGCTATCATCGCCTCTGGCGATGGGCGTCCAATGGTCAATGGTCAATGGTGTGAAGCAGCACGTACCCTCACTACGGACTACTCTATCTTGTAACTTTTCTTTCTTGCCGTGCGTGTGGCTTGTGCGCGGTTTGCCTGCAGGTATGCCTCCGATAAGGCCGCCGTCCACGGTGGGAGCACCTCCGTTCCTGCCACCACAGGCCATGGCCGCTCTCGGCTTTCCTCCGCCGGGTGCCATGTTACCTGGCGGTCCACCTCGCCAACCACCACCGTTCGGCCTGCCTCCGCCGCTGGGTGAGTTGCTGACTTGCCGGTACTCGTGCATGTGCTGTTTTGCAGATGTGCAGCTTATGCTCTTCAGTGACTGACTGTGATGTACTATATCATGAATAGGGAGCAATGGCTGGTGCTGGCAAGTCGAACCCCTGCACTGAGCAGTGATGCTTGCGATTTTGAAAGGGGCACCTTGTCCTTGGTGGAGGGGGCTGTGGTCACAACACGCAGTTCACTCTACATCCCGTTATGCTGCTCTAGATGAACACTTAAAGGGGAACTGTCACCAAAAACCACATTCACGATGGGTAGGTATTGTTTACCTCCATGCCTTGCACTCAACCTCGTGTTTGTTTTTTCGCCTTGCAAGCAACCCGGTGTTTTGTTCACGCTTTTTTTCCGCGCTCAATCGCTAAATTGCTTTTTTCGCGCTAATTACTCGACAGTGCTCAACGCCTGTCTGTCCAGTTCTCTGGTTATATTGAGTTCCATATTGTCATTTATCTTCATTCCTCTGATGAAGTGACTCATGTCACAGAAACCGGTCAGGTTAAAAAACTTGGAACTCTGCTTGTGAGTGCGTGGTTATGTTTTAAACTTCCCGTGTAGGACCTTCGCCGCTGCTTCACTAGGATGTCTACTTCTGGCAAGTCCCTCGGCTTAAAGGGGCACTCTGGGAATTTTTTCGGTGGTGTGTTCTCTTCATGGGGGCCTTATATGGCCCCCAAGGAATGGGGAATCGCGAAAACTAGACCCAAAAAGTCGATATATGAAGCCAGGGAGGGCCAAGTTTGTCTCTTCTTTTGATGGTTTTGATGACGTCACGTGTGATTAGTATTCAAATTCTCTGCACTTGAAGATCATAGTTGTTTGAATTTTCTGGTGATGAAGAACGATGTTTGGTCGACATTCCCAAGCTTCACAACTGCGGACATACTCTAAGGAACCTGAAGGACCCCCTGAGGTGCCCCTGGTAGAAGCGCAGCCTGATGAGGGCCAGGAGATTGGAGCGGACGACTTCACTGGTCCGAGTACGAGGATCCCGAAATTCTCTATACGCCGTGAGGCATATGGTCAGAACAGTTTTGTTTAGACAAGCTGACGCGAAGTCGGGGTGATGTGTAACGCATGTCAAAGGGCTGTCAATGCTAACAGCTGCAGCGCGCTCTCTCGACAGTGAAGGTAATCGACTGCCCTCTGCATCACCCCACATTTCTGGCAGGAACACCAATCGTTATTTCCTTTTCGACCAGTGAAGTCGTCCGCTCCAATTTCTTGGCCCTCATCAGGCTGCGCTTCTACCAGGGGCACCTCAGGGGGTCCTTCAGTATGTCCGCAGTTGTGAAGCTTGGGAATGTCGACCAAACATTTTTCTTCATCACCAGAAAATTCAAACAACTAAGATCTTCAAATGCAGAGAATTTGAATACTAATCACACGTGACGTCATCAAAACCATCAAAAGAGGAGACAAACTTGGCCCTCCCTGGCTTCATATATCGACTTTTTGGGTCTAGTTTTCGCGATTCCCCATTCCTTGGGGGCCATATAAGGCCCCCATGAAGAGAACACACCACCGAAAAAATTCCCGGAGTGCCCCTTTAAAACGCAACCGCAAGACTCTAACACCCGTGACGGACCATCCTACGTCCCCACTCGCTAAAAGACGAGCCCTGGCGAGGTCTGTCACCGCCAAGGATGTTTCGTGCCACGGCCTGCCCCAGGCCGTGCACGGTTATGTGTCCTGGTGTACTAAACGCATCGCTGATGCCAACGTTAGCATGTAACGTCTAAAAGAAAGGGTCAAGCGACTTGAATCACAACTGAAGGACAAGGACTTCCCGGATTTCGTCCAAAAGAAGTTTTGTCGTCTCACTTCAGAAGCCGCTACCCTACAATCTATTGACTTCACTACGCAAGCTGTTGAAAAAGCCAGAAAGTCACTCGACGCGGCTACTACGAAGAAAGAAACAGCAGAACACGACTTTGAAGGGTTGATGAAGGAGTTCGAATCCACAGATGTTTCGTCTGCACTCGTCCACGAGGCCCATGCCTTGTTCGAGAAACAACTCAACGAAGCCGAAGCCTGTGAAATTGCCAAAAAGCTAAAAACGGGTCTTATCACATCGCGTAAGAAGCAGAATTCCCAAACTAAAATTTTCTTTGTCTTATCTTGTAGTTCCTTGGCTCCCGATCACGATGGTGTTATCCGTTTTTCTCTGCGATGGCTGGAAGTGGGTGAAAACTTGAAAAGAAGGTGCCCAAAATTGTCCCGAAGTACCGAGTGACGTCACGCCAGACTTGACCTCCACACGTACATTCGTCGTCAAAAGCGAAGTTCAGCCCGTGTGCTGGTCGATCGAGCTAGCTGTTCCGATGTACGGTGCACGTGTGCCTTTTGAACTCTAACACAAATGGGTACGTCGTACCGAAGGAGAATGCCAAAGAGGCAGGGACCCACGTGCAGCTACACAGCCAAACCAAAATAAAAAGCAGCTGAGCTTTCACCTTTTCGACTTCTTTCGCGAGGATCTAAGTTTTATTTTGAGGGCACGGAAGTACGTCGTTGTTTTTGAACTTTTCGTGTGAGGAACAACACGATGATGAGCGCGTATGCAGAAAACAGTACTCCTCCGGCCGGCGATAACACCACCAACCCGAGCCCCAAGGGAACGCAATGTAGCTACGTGAAGGCGATTCATCTGGCGATGTTGGTGAAGATGCAGATTACAAACTCCGACGTCTTTCATTTCAGAGCCGGGTGGGCAACACCGCCACCTTCGATACAACGACGTAATTTTCAAGTACGAGGTATGTGTGTCACACTAACAGCAAACAAACATCCTTCCACTCCTTCGTAATCACAAATAAAACAAAGAGCTGGAGCTTCGTGGAGGAAGTACCAGCGCGACAGACTGCTGTCGACTTTTGTTTGTTTTGTCCCTTTTTGGCGTTCTCATTGTATACAACGTACACATCAGTGTCCGAGTTCGGAAGGGAAGCGTGCACCGTACATCGAACAGTTGGCTCGATCGACCAGCACACAGGCTGAACTTCGTTTTTGACGACGAATGTACGCGTGGAGGTCAAGTCCGGCGTGACGTCACTCGGTACTTGGGACAAGTTTGGGGACCTTCTAAGATAAGACAAAGAAAATATTTGGTGACAGTTCGATGTGACTACCTCCCAATTTCATGGAACAGAGATATGGAGCACCCTTTGTTTACCTTACTTTTGAATTTAGATCTCTATCACTTATTACTTACCGTTCCTCCTTTTGTTGGCAGGCGCCGCTGGCAGAGTTCCCCGCCTTCCCCTTCCGCCTGGAATCCGCCACAACTTGCCCCCGCTCCCTGGTCTGCCGCCGTTTGATGGGACACTTCCTTTACCTCCAGGACTGCCACCAAAATTGCCCGCTGATAGTAGCCGGTCGGAAGGTACTGGTGGTACTGATGGTGGCCCTTCAGAGGTCCACCTGGACAGGTATGCATGCTTGTGGGCTTCTTCCGCTGCAACAGCTCTTTCTATGTATCTCTTTGTATGTCTCCTGCTCTCTGTCTCTCTGTCTCTCTCTCTCTCTCTCTCTCTCTCTCTCTCTCTCTCTCTCTCTCTCTCTCTCTCTCTCTCTCTCTCTCTCTCTCTCTCTCTCTCTCTCTCTCTGTCTCTCTCTCTCTCTCTCTCTCTCTGTCTCTCTCTCTCTCTCTCTCTCTCTCTCTCTCTCTCTCTCTCTCTCTCTCTCTCTCTCTCTCGCCTGCTCGCGAGCGCTCTCTCTCTTCTTTCTTTTCTCACTCACACACACACTCTCTCTCTCTCTCGCCTGCTCGCGCGCGCACACACTCTCTCTCTCTCTCGCCTGCTCGTGAGCTCTCTCTCTTCTTTCTTCTCTCACACACACTCTCTCGCTCACTTGCTCTCTCTCTCTCTCTCTCTCTCTCTTCTCTTCTCTCTACCTTTCTTTCCGTGTCTTTCATGTATTTCTTCGCTTCTCCATGATGATCACGTCAATCATTTGCCTCATGACTTTTGTTGCTCTTGGCTTTTTCTTCATAAATGCCATCAATATCAAGTTTTCACTGGCTTGAGGGAAAGATGCAAACGGGAAAAGTCAAATTTATGTCATCAAGTTTGTGTCGGTTTTGTTTTGTCTTGTCTCCAGACCGCCTTTGTTCCCTGGAGATGGTAATCCTTTCCCTGGTGCAGATGGTAAGTCCGGGTTCTGCCTGTCAAACTTGCCGGCGTGGCTGCTTCTGTTCGGGTTCGGAGGTGTGGTGCCATTAACCAGCACTGTCTGCCGGTCTTGTAGTTGTCTTTTCCAAGCTGGTAACACCATAATTATGGTATCTTCCCTTGTTGTTCTTTGAAGTGCATCGTGACGTACGGTATCCTTTACATTCCATCATCACAGTGGTTTGCCGCTGAATACAAAGCATATTGTGATGGTGTCATTGGCGTATCCTCAAGTGCATTCTTTGGGATCTTGCAATTTGCTGGAGCAAGCCTGCGGTGCTAGCTGTTCATGCACTGTTTTCTCTTTTCACTAGGTTCTTGTTCTGATTCTGTCTTGCTGTTGCAGGTCTTCGGCCGCCTCCAGGTTTCGAGGGTGCGTTCACTGGTGACATGAGTCTGGGTGAAGCGTTCGCAGCCCTTGCTGGTCGCCGCGCGGCCGCAAGTCGTAGTCGCAGTCGTTCGCCGCCCCCGTACGGCGGTGGCGGTCCCAGTCGCAGTCGGTCACCATCACGTCCCCGCTCCCTGTCTCGAACCCCATCGCCGGGCAGTGGCGTGGAGGACGATCGAGCGTACGACCGGTCCTACCGCGAGTCGCGGCGAGCGGACCGCGACTACCATCGGCACCATCGCACAGAGTACATCGACGTCCGCAATCGTCGCGATCGGGACTACCGCGATCGGGAGCGAGAACGCGACATGCGGGAGCGTGAGAGAGAGCACGAGGCGCGCAGGCGGTACGAGCGGGATCGGCGTGACGAGAAGGAGCGTGACCGGCACCGCGACAGAGAGAGATACGAGCGTGAGGTGAGACTGCTAAAAGATGCTAAGACCTTGCAGTGGCTACTTGAATGATCTTTGTTGTGCGTAGATTTTGAGGGAACGCTTCAGAGCTGTGCTTTTAAACATTGTGAAGCGGACATTTTAACTTGTGCTATGGTGATGTGCTAACTTGTGTTGGGCTGGGTTGCAGCCTGTGCGCAATTATTTGCTTGATGCCTGTGAGCTGTATATTGTGTGTATTATGGATGTGGTATTGACTAATTGTGTATCTCTTTGTCTGTCAAATCCTATATATATACGATTTTTCCCAATTTTTGGGAAAGGGTAGATCATACCTTACAAAGTAAAGTTCTTTCTTCAAAAACCTGTTTGAGTCTGCATTCCATGTTTATCAGATTTAGTAAATGCCCCAACCATGTAGTGTCTTTAGTTCATATTGATCTGCGAGCACTTTACAACACAACTTCAATGCTAGGATGGTGCTAATATTCATCTACTCCACTCCTAGTCTATTTCTACCACTTGTAGTTGCAATTCATCAGCAATAATTGCACACAGATACCTTTCCTGGGGGTCTTAGCCAGTGAGTAACCTCTATTCATTCAGAGAGAGGCATTGTGGGAAAGATCAAAATGCATCTTCAATAACATTGCTTCCACTTCGACCATTTTCGAGGCTGCAAATGCGTCTTGAAGTCTAATCCTATGCGTGGGATTAACTGGTGACAGACAAAGAGATAGTGTGGATGTGGTGTTGTGTGTAGTACAGTTGCGCTCACTGAAATCCGACCCGAAGTGCAAAGCTGGCGCCTTGGACCAGTTCCCAATACATCACTGTACTTGTATATGGGTACGTCCAGCAGCATTCGTACGGCTTCCAGGGCGTCAAGGGCGCGCTAGTTGAGGGCGCCAGCTTTGCAATTCGGATTTCAGCGAGCGCAACTGTAGTATGGATGTAGTCTTGTGTGTACTGTGGATGTGGTCTTGTTTGTACTTTTGGATGTAGTATTGTAGATAGTGTGAATGTCGTCTTGTATACATGTAGAGTGTGAATGTCGTCTTGTATAGAGTGTGTGGATGTAGTTTTGTGTAGGGCTCAAACGGTTAGTCCGATTGACCGGTTGCAGACCGGTTACGAAGAATTAACGGTTAACCGATAAAGATAACGGTTACGCAGTAACTTTTCAGTCAATTTTTCAAGTATCAGGTCGTTGCAAAGTATTCACTTTCGCAGGCTGTAGCACGCGTACGCAATTTCTGGGCTGTCAACTCGGTCATATCTGGTCTCTTGGTGTGAGAGTATGTATGAATGAGCATGCAAGAGAATGTACATGTACATGTGTGCGTTGTCCGCAGGATTGCTGTGGCGTATAGGTTATAACCGTTAGCTTAGCAGTTAACCGTTAGGGGTAAAACCGTGGCCGTTTGAGCCCTAGTTTTGTGTACTGTATGGATGTAGTTTTGTGTAGAGTGTGAATGTAGTCTTGTAGGTAGTGTGAATGTAGTCTTGGGTATAGTGTGAATGTAGTCTTGTAGATAGTGTGAATGTAGTCTTGTAGGTAGTGTGAATGTAGTCTTGGGTATAGTGTGAATGTAGTCTTGTATAGATTGTGAATGTAGTCTTGGGTATAGTGTGAATGTAGTCTTGTGTAGAGTGTGAATGTAGTCTTGTATAGATTGTGAATGTAGTCTTGGGTATAGTGTGAATGTAGTCTTGTGTAGAGTGTGAATGTAGTCTTGTGTAGAGTGTGAATGTAGTCTTGTGTAGAGTGTGAATGTAGTCTTGTGTAGAGTGTGAATGTAGTCTTGTGTAGAGTGTGAATGTAGTCTTGGGTATAGTGTGAATGTAGTCTTGGGTATAGTGTGGATGTAGTCTTGTAGATAGTGTGGATGTGGTCTTGTAGATAGTGTGGATGTAGTTTTTGTGTATTGTGTCGATATGATCTCATTGCTTTTGTTTGAATGGTGTCAGCTGGGTTGACATTGGATAATTTTGAATGATGGCTTGGCAATGACAATGCTATTAATGACTTGTGTGTTTGTCACTGTTTTGTTCTACTTGTCAGGAGCGTGATCGTCGTGATCGTGACCGCCGTGAAGAAGAACGTGTCCGAGAGGAACGCGAGCGCGAGGAAAGGAGCCGCCATGAAGAGAAGGAAAAGGAGAAGGAGCGTGAGCGAGCAGAGAGGGCCGAGAGGAGTGAGAGGGAGGAGCGTGACCGTCGTGAAGAGAGCAAGCGTGATGACGACAAGCGTAGAGATAGGTAAGAGAGAGACAGACAGGCAGGCAGACAGACAGACACAGACAGACACAGAGAGAGATGTGTGTGTGTGTGGGGGGGGGGGGGGTCACATATGGTGCAGTGGTATGTGCAGTTAATTTCCAATCGAGACTTTGCGGGTTCAATTCCCGACGTTTATAGTCGCACACGTCTTTCTTCTCTTTCTCAGTCTCTTCCTGACTTGTCTTCCATTCTCCTGGGTGGTTACCAAACCAACAACCAGTACATGCCGGAGTATGTGGTGTGATGTGTGTGCAGGTAAAAAAGAAAAAAAGGCCACGAAGTAGAGATTCACTGGCCAGGAAACCCCCCACTTCTAATAGCTTTGCGGTGTAGATCAGGCTGAATAGTGGCGATTGATTCTTCAGCCTTGCAAGCTGTTGAATGGTGCAATCCCAGCCCAAGTTGCTATGGGTTCTGCTGTAGCATCGCTATCATTGCCTCTGGTAGCGATGTCAGAGTGCCGTGCCACGTGACCTCCACGCTTGTCGCTGGATTCCCTAGCAACCAGCTGAAATGATGGCACAAAAGGCCAGTACGGCAGAATGCCAGTCGCGGCTAGTGCGTGCAGTACTTGGCACGCGGGATTTTCAAATGTGACCTGAAGTCGTCAGTGACAAGCTTGGTCGTGACTATTGCCACGAAAATAGAAGATGAACTTTCGTATGCGCGTTTGTGCGGGCGCGCTGCGCCTACGGAGCTGGGAGTATGGCCGCCGACAAGTTAGCGTATGTTCAGTCGCCTTTTTCATCTCTTGCGCTGCCTGATACAGATTTGATTTTAGTTCCATCGTGTTCCCCGTCGTCCAATTTAGTTTGCTGCCAAGTTTCACCGGCGTATCACGCCGCGCACCAGACTTGTAGTATTTTTCGCGACAGGTACTCCATTGCTGGATACAACGCCATCATGAGTGTTCGTCCAGCAAAGGGACCGGCGGTGAAGATGTCTTGTCGAGTCTTGGACTCAAGGAGGAGCAGCTATTGCAGGATAAGCCCCTGCCTAGCATGATCAGAAACGTTTCAAATGCATTGGTGTTAGAACTGATGAAGTTCAAAGCGGACCACCACCAGGATCATAATCTACTTGTCGAACTCTTCTTGTCTCGGAGAATGGCCAAATCACAACTCATACTTCGGCTACTCTTCAACAGTCTTCTTGAATTTCTCCAACAGTTTGCAGCAACAACAAAAAAACAGTACAGCTACGGTATGTACATTTTGTACAGTGCGCAAGATTATTCATGAGCCGCGATCCCTGTTGTCAAGACCAATTTTGTGCCGTGGTGAGATCTGGTTTGTGTACAGTGAGGCATGGTGCTTTTCGACAATGGCGGCGCTTACCCCGTGCACTCTAAACTGGAATAAGTCCACTATATTTGCTCCGATTTGCTTCAAACTTTGCCAGTATACTCTACTTGTCTTCAGGAATCGGATGGTATTACAATATTTGCCCGATTCTCAAAACAGAAATTTACCCTGACATCGCTACCTCTGGCGATGTCCGTCAAACGGTGTGTGTGTGTGGGGGGGGGGGGAGGGGTGTTTTGGGGTGGGGGTGAGGGGTGGTTCGTTGTGGTGTTGCTGGTGGCAAATCGCTCGTTCAATGGAAAGCAGATGATCACTGGCAGGCATTGACCGACCAATTTGTTTGTGTGTATTTTTGGCAGAGCTTGATTTCTGACTTGGGTTGGAAAGTTGCTAGAATGGCTGTGTGCCATCGTATTCCGGGCCGTGGCCGTACGGCTTGCGACCATTAGCTTTTGACGGCGGGGCTTCCGCACTAAGGAATTTGCTTGTGCCATGAGGAAAGATAAGACTCTATCGGTTCTGGTTGGCTTTACTTTAAACATGTGTCTCCTTTGTTTCCCTCCGGTGTGCTTCTTTGTCAGGAAACGCCGTCGTAGCACCACACCTGCCGTTGAAGAGGTTCAGCCTCGCCGGCACAAACGCTCCAAAGCAACGAAGGAGAAGGCTTGATCAGCAGGCCGGATCATACCAATGTCTTTGTACATAGCTGCCTGCATTACTCTATTGTCATCATTGTCTCCTCTGTCTTTAAACTGCTCGTCTCTCTGCCGTCTCTGACCGTCCTGGATCTGTCCTGTATCTTTTTTTCGCTACCTTTAAATAATGTTGCATTGAAACGTCTTGTGGTTGGTGGGTAATTTTTGTCGTGCCGGCCCTTGAAATACATACCCCTAGAATTTATAGCTGGCAGTGTGTGGCGGCGTGTGCATGCTTCAGTGCCAGCAGCACAGGGATATGAATGGCCGGCTATGAGCAATGACAAGTGCCTCTTTTTTTAGCCCTGCCATCGTGGACTTGGGTAACTGTTTGCCATACTACTGTCTGCTTCTTTCTCTTTTTCTCCTCCTTGTATACAGTAGTAAGTCGTAAAAATAGGATTTCAGCCAGAAGATGGATTTTGTCAAGGCCCCACATGCACAGTCAACGACTGTACAGCACTTGTGTGTAATTCTCGTACGGGAGATAATTCCGTACAGCCATGCAGTAGTAGTAGTAGTAGTAGAATTTATTATTTTGATAGGGAAGGCCCTACAGACGTTGCCGTCTTGTTACAGGGAACCCTAAGTGCTCTTTACAGAGAGTACAGGTTGTGAAGTTAAATTCACTCCTTTTTTCTGGTACATGTAGAACATTTTACATTGTACTTGATCTACAACAGGGAGTTGTCAGATAAACCATTTTGACGACTCCCTGATCTACAATGTACATGTACAATAATTTACCATGCAGGAGCACAGATCATACGTAGTCCCCCCTTCCCAATCTGCACTTGTACTCTCTTGTACCATCATCCTTCAATGCGACGGACCCCACGATAGGCGGTCAGCCTTTGGGTCATCCTAATAAAGTTGTTGGTATAGGCCTGTGGGGATTGCCCTATCAAAAATTTAATAAAATAAATAATAATGTAATGTGTGCTAAGTCTTGTAGATTTTACGTCGCACGATACAAGTAGTTGAAGTACAATGCACATGTACAGCCCACCAATACTGCACCATGCAGATCACTATCAAATAGGCATCGCGGTGTATCATGTACAGACAGTGTGTAAGTGTGCATGCTTGGCATGGCATGGGCATTGATATGATCCAGTGGCAGTGCGTTTACTCTCCCCAGTCTCTCAGCCCGGTGTTTACAAATGTAATGTACCATTGCTGGGTACCGCCCAGGTATCAGTGTCGCTCTCCGTCATGCAGCATGTCAAGTTTGACAAACAACCTCATAAATATTACTCGCATTCTGTCTCGGGGAATGCCTCATGCCAACGGAACATGAATTGATTGATACAACTCGATGCTGCTCCCATCTGCGTGACTTTAGGAATTCGCCCAAGGCTATTGCTGCATCGTGTATTCTGTAAATGAAGGGTCAGTGGCAAGGTCGTCGACTTGTTCGACGAGAACGAAGCTCATTTGGTGTGTGAACCTGACTGCGGTGACTTGCCGTGGAAATCGTGCTTGCATGCCGTCTCTTGTCTAGAGTCGTCGACAGTTTACACCCACTCGAATTCAACGACGTTACGAAATCCGTGACGGGTTTAGTTGACGTCTGTCACGAAATCTAGTCAGATTCACACTATCATCAAAACGTATCAGCGTTCTGTCAGACGCGCACGTGTGGCCCCAAGCGCGAGAGCTCGAGAGGTATACACCAACCGACGATATTCGTCTCCGGAGTGTTGGCGAGGAATTCTCCTCCGTGCGTCGTCCTGTGAGTTTTCTCCCTCCTGCTCCTTTCATCATCTGAGGTTGCAAGCAGACAACGGCAAGGCGCTAAAGAGTTGTGGCCGTATTATGGCAGTCACGGTTCTTGCGACCGCCGCAACACTCGGCCCAAGGAAACACAGCCTGCGGGCTGTGTCGGCAAGCTTAGCCGACACTACTCAGTGAACATTCTCTCCCACTCGCTGGCGGTCGTTTGCACCGCGAGTAATGCCCGCAAGCGGAAAGGGCAACGAAGAAACATACTCGCACTGAACAGTGAGACCTCAGGCATCGTGCCTGGCCTACATGACTTGTACATGTATACATTACTATGGCTATCTATCTCGGGGCCCCATTGCCGAATGCCTATCTGCCACATGCAAATTGTAATGGGTTGTCGCGATGCATAATGCTATGTCGCCGATGATCTGTTTACCCAACACAGTGTGTAGATCTACAGTGTATCAGTGCATCAGTGTCCCAGAAGTAAGAAGTTCTCAGTTCTCACCCGCTGTAGCCGAGTCTCTCAGGGGAGAGAAGCTCGCACGGATCGTGAGGGTCTGCACTAACCCGTGGGAAAGCGTGTGGGGTCGCTCCTTCACAAACATACCAGCAGCATACTAAGTACATTGTACTAGTGGTAGAATTGTGTGATTCATTGCATTGCGTTGTGCAGCAATAGTCGGAAAGCTGTTTCTTATTCTCCCGCTTCCCCCGGGTCGAATAATTGATCGAGGAAATACTTGAAATTGATGGGAAACGTCGCATACAAAGGTGGATCAAAGGTCCGACTTACAAGCATCGGCTGCCAATTTCAATTATTTCACCCTGTGGAATCTGCCAGAACTGAAAGGGTGAAAGCGTCACTACCATCCATATCCCTCGGTGTGCAAGCGTGGAAGCAAGCCTCTAGAGGCTGGAGTTGGCAGCGGATTCCCGCTGCCGTAGCTTCCTTGGACATTGAATGGAGCAATTAATATTTGCCAAACCTACCAGTACATGTACAGTCAACTTCGCTAATAACGACTGCGGATATAACGACAATTCGCGAATAACGACTTAATTTTCATGCCCGGAGCAAAGTCCTATCCAACTGTGCACATATAATGAGACTTCGGATATAACGACACTTCGCGAATAACGAGACTTTTCTGATGCCCCGCAGAGTGTCGTTATAAGCGAAGTTGACTGTATGTTAGGATTCTAGGGATCATGGTGAAAGGGAAGGCACGGTCTTGGGTGTAACCATGGTAACTCCTACAGTCTGTGTGTTTGAATGCTGTCAGTGATGCTGATACAGTGTAAATGCTTCTCACGTGGTGTTACGTAACTTACGTTGCGATCTGAATTACGCAATTCACCTTCACTCACAATAGCAATTCGTCATACCAGGAATTCCCATGCGAAATGACCTCTGGCTGAATGCAGAATCAATGTGCTCATGTAGAATCTACAATGACTACGTGCAGTGTATGTCCACGGGTCAGTAGCTGCGAGGGAATGTACTGCCATTAGGACCGTTAGGCGATGTGCGGCATGTTTGCTACCAAACCCCACCTTGCATGACCTTTACGGTAGTAGACTCTCCCAAGAGTATAATAATTTATACTCCCCCCCCCCCCCCTATAGTATACTCTTGGTAGTACGCGAATACCTGCCCTGACATAATAATTATTATGTGTTGAAATCAGTGCTTCTTTTCATGATACTTAATAGCACCCTTTCAAGAAGTATAATTATGTCCGGTGGAGGAGTTGAAGAACTGTATCGCTGCACCAGCGGTGCAAACTTTAATTATGAAACATGTGCTGGTCAGCTTATCAAGACTGATGCAGTAAGAATGTAAATGTACATGTAATACATATTGTTACCTACATGTACATGTAATACCAGCCATGACGGAGGAGTGAAGACTGCTGGCTGCGACTCTGTCTTTCATGCTTTCGTGATCATGAATCAGTGGGGCAGAGCCGCTGAGCCTCACTCGTTTGATAGTCGACATGGTTGTGTTCTACTACCAATCGTGCATGGCCACTCGGGCTGATAACGTGAAAAAGTAATTAGTTCTTGTGATAATCTGCATGTCGTTACTGAGGCCGATCCCTTCGATTGGATCAAGCACTGATGATGCGTGATGGAAGACTGCTGATAACCATCAGCGCAGTGCTAGTTAATTTTGTTCCCAGTACACACGACGGTGCTTATCGTGTTGCGTGATGAATGCACAACGCTCCCATTGCTATGATTGTGTTCAGCCTGGACCATGAGCGTTATTGCTGTACAATTGAATAGTACAGTAAGTGTGATAGGGAGGTATAACACGAATCAGAATGACAGATGCAACACTACAAGTACAATTACATGTATGTTGCTGTTTACTGCTTGGATTAGACCCACGCGTGTGCACATGTCGTGGATACACCGGGTGTTGACACGGGAGCATGCACGTAACGCCTGGTACGCTCTTTTGGATCAAGGCCCGGATCTTTTTCCAACCCTGGATAAGAAGACTACCCGCACACGAGGACCACAATTGTAAGGTCCCTTGAGCGGTCGCCGTAGAAAGGTTTCACTATAACGTCACAATGTATCATGCATACAACGTACATGTGCGCAATAGCGAGAGTTCCCAGATTGCCTAGAGTGCTCAACACCACAAGGATGGAGCATTACCACAAAGGCAGAAGACTCTGAGAACAGAGGCAGCCGGCTAGGTCATTGTTGTAACGCTGCGTTTCATGCACATAGCAAAGCTAAGGCAATCCTCAGACAACTGACACGTTCATGTACATGTAATGGCAGCATTGGCAGATCGGCGCGGGGATTTGTGCCAATTTCTTCACGGTACTCAGTAAATCGATCTCTATGGTTAAAGCGCGTCGGCCATTTCCCCCCCCCCCTCTCTCTCTCTCTCTCTCTCTCTCTCTCTCTCTCTCTCTCTCTCTCTCTCTCTCTCTCTCTCTCTCTCTCTCTCTCTCTCTCTCTCTCTCTCTCTCTCTCTCTCTCTCTCTCTCTCTCTCTCTCTCTCTCTCTCTCTCTCTCTCTCTCTCTCTCTCTCTCTCTCTCTCTCTCTCTCTCTCTCTCTCTCCTCTCTCTCTCTCTCTCTCTCTCTCTCACACACAGGAGACGTCCCACCCATGTACCCACCATACATGTGCAATGTACCGTTGTACGTACATGTAGAGAATTGTAGATCTACGTTGTACATGTGAACTACACCCTACATGGCTACATGGCTGAGTGGCTTAGTGAAACGCAGTACCGGTACATAATAGCCATGACTTGTACAGTAAAAGTAAAGTAAAGTTTGCACGTCCGCGTTACCACCGGCTATACAATTGCGTTGAGAAACACAACCAGCTTAGGAAGTTTCGCATGTGCCAGGCCACCACCATGCCTGTGCTACCAGGGTGGCAGATGCAGCGCCTAACGGCGTACACAGAATAATTCACACGGTGTGAGCAGCAAGCACTATCGCAGCATAGCAGGCGGTAGAGTCATTGCCTATTCAACATGACAGAAATTGGCAAGCGATTGTATCGATTTTATCACCCTCGGAAGTTGGAACGTCACCTGCCTACCTGACCAAACTGCAAGAAGTTTTGTTCTAGTAACTAAGTTACTGCTACATAATTGTATCTTTCAACCTGGCACTTAAAAGTGCCATTGTCACAATCACAAAAGACCGGGAGTTCTACATGAACAGTTGGGTAAGACGACG